TGTATTGTCATGAAAACGAGACTTAACTCTCGCACAGCTTGCTGATGGCGCTAAGTATGTCAGATGTCTTAGTCGCAAGTGACCAGAGGAAAGGTGAATATCGGTGAGGATGAATTTCGTCGTGGGTTGATACAAGCAAAAAATGGACATCGACGAGGGGGAAACTTAGTCGCCGGTAAAGCCGCAGTGGAGAGCGGTAAAATTAAGCATGGTACGCGATGTTTCTTGAAAAAAGATTCCGGAGTGCGAGGAATTGATGGAAGAGCCCCAAGTCGTCTTACATGCATATGAGCGTTCCTGGTGAATCGAAGAAATTAGCTGGACAATCCGGTCGGAGATCACCCGGACCTGCGTAACCTCGTTACGTTCCGTCAGTCAATTTCAAGGTGGTGTTAATTTTTGCTGGAGGCGCACTGCTCTATTTTTGAGGATGTTTATGTTAAGTGCACCATGAGCCTTTCGCTATACGTCCCTAGCTAGATGTAGTAACTGCCTGTGCAAGACACGACATATTCGCGCGGTGTTACATTTGTATAACACCGCGCCTAAAAATTCTCTGTTCTCTCCACTCCGGCGCTACCCTAGTCCGTTTGCAATTGCATGGGCGTTGCATGTAGCAGAAATTTGACTGCCATTAAACGGCGCGCATGTAAACGGACACGAGTCTGATCTCGGTCGCCCCCGCCCGGTCTGCGCCCAACTTGATGTCGCCTTCGCCTGGCGCCGCAGGGCATGACCTGTCCACCTTGGCCGAGCCAGCCGTTGCGACAAACCGCGAACCGTCCCGATCAGGCCCATCGACCGGGGACGGCGGGGCCGACAGTGCATTCACCCTTTCCTCTTCGGAACAACCTTTGCCACACAAATGATAGATATATAAATATACCCGAACAAATGAAAGAAAGCGCTCCGGCCAAATGCCACCGTTGTTTTGGATACCACCCCTGGCTGATGCCGTTTGCAAAATTTTAAAAAAGGTCTGGCGGAAAATCAGCTGATAACCCTCAAAGTCGTATCGCAATTGGTAAGCCTGATGTGCTTGGTCAACAATTGACCCTATTATGCCAGGTCAGGGTCACATTTTTTTTTAAAGTCCTGACCAATGGAGTTTAGACCATATGCAAGACCATGCCACGTAAAGATGAACAGAAGCAGGTGTGTTCCTGGTTCAATTTGAGGTCTTCCCTAGTTGTAAATATGCTGAGCACATATGTATGATGTGGGGCTATTGATAGAAGTGTCTGCCCGTCTCGCACGGTCGGCGAATTGGTCTGCTGTCCGCGCCGGCCGTGAGGCGGCCGTGCGGCGCTCCAAAAGATCGTCGCTGCCGAGAAACCGAAAATGCCTAGGTTTTGGTTTCGAAACACATACGATTGATGCTCCAGAATACTCAGGAGAGGCACTCGGCTGCGCAGCATGCCAGGAAGGTACCACCAAAGCCTTAGTAGATTACACTGACCCCCTCGCATCAGGACGAGGGTTAATGAGCTTAACGTGTCATCCCGGAGCCGACAATTTGTTTGCGCGTGAAAGCTTTAGTAGTCTTGTTGGCCCCCCTTCGTATCAGGGCGAGGGTTTATGAGCGTAACATGTCATCCCGGTGCCGACAATGAGGTTTGCGAGCGATCCAGACGACATAATAGTACGAATGGAATGAATATTCGGACTATCGTATCGCCCTCGCTTTAGTGTTGTTACATACTTGTCATATATTTTAGATACTAAGGCATTAGACTAGGCTTATAGTTCAATTAGTCAGTCTAGCCCAACCGTAAGAGCGACAGATGCTTGAAACCATAAGCTGGGTGAGGTGTGGCGGCAGAGGCTACCAGTCCCGTTTTTCGAGAAAAAAGTTTGTGCGCATTGCCGGGAAAGGAACTGGACAGAGTTGCTTGTCCCGTCATTGGGGCGTTCCAGGTCATTACATGGCTTGCAATATGGAAGCGGTGATATATGGTGCGCGAGATTGGACGTGACTTGGGTCTTTGGCTATGGTTTTAGTTGTCTAACCTACGATTAGCACTCTGGGCTGCGGGCTTACGCTGCTGAAATGGTTGGGTGGACCTAGGATGAATTAAAGAGAACATTATTGCTCGAAGCCTTCGGCTACGTAACGACAGCAGACTACAAACGCGTCGTGGCATTATGCACAATATTTTACGGAGAGGCATGCGCACGGCCACCGACAAGCATCAAGCAGGCACAGACTCATCAACATCAACATCAACAGACCGGTCATCTGAGAGGATCCGGGATGCACTGGCTGGAAACTGGTCGTCGGTCCATTGCATTAAATTGCTCGTTACCGACCTGCCTGAGCCGCTCAGCAGGGGTCGACTGCGGCGCGTACAGCTTGTCGAACGGATCAGTCCGGGGCGAGCAGAGACCCGAGCGTGGCAGGCTCCGAGTCGAGGGTCCTGAGACGATACCAGATTACTGAGGCGCCTCCGATAAAGGCTGGCCCTGAGACGGTACCAGATTACTGACGTGCCTCCGATACAGGCGTGCCCCGAACTTCGAAACAGCTGCAGGTGGGGTACCGGGTTCAGCTCGCTGCATGAAGACGTACCCCGCCGTCCGCTTGGTTCGGCCCCTCTGCGAGGTAAATGCGAGGGAGGGCGCGCCGTTATGTCAAAAACACGCCGTCACTGCGTGGTTATTTAAGCAGTTGTCTGGAAACGACGTCCTGCAGCATTTCGGCTGCTGGTGCGGGATTCGTTCATAGAATCATGAAATATGTTGAGGGATGTGGTATTCCAAACTTGCGAAATTAATCGCGCGGTGACGGCTGCGAAAAAAATAAAAAGGAACTGAAAAACCAAACTAAACTAAAAACCAAAACACTGTGTCAGGACTTGAGTGTTTGGCGAGCAGCCCCTGCTTTTGCTCGAGTACATCCGTTTTGTCAATTCTGAATTTTCTAGAGCAAGTTTTCCAATATTTCTGACTTTGATAAGTTCCAGAGATTCGAACACCCGCCACACGGTGCGTGCAAATGAACCCTGTTAAACTCTTCAACGTTGGTCAATTATTGCGTAGGTAGATTGACGTGTGTAGATCATGGAGGACGACTAACGCATTTGAGGGAATGTGGGGAGGTGCCTTATCATTTGGTTTGTTTCCATCTGCTCAGCTTTTACGAAATGGTCTTTTACGAAAAAGTTCGTTGTGCTGGAGTAATAAGAGGCATTTGTGACGCGGAACGAATTGACTCTTGGTGGGGAGCTATGTAACGCCTGATAATGTAATGGATATTGCGACTTGCATGTGATGACACTTCTGCTCAAATCTGCGCCCGTGCTGGGCATGGCTATTGGGAAACTATTCTTATCCCTAATTGTGTCTACGGGCGATGCACCACCTCTGCTGAGGCCCTGAATAGTGCTCGTGAATGCTGACGTGCTGTGTTTTTCAGGCGCGTGTGACGTCATCGTGCCGAATGGCACGGAGGCAGTACCTTCGTTGGATTCTCCCCGCTGGCTGACAATGTCCTGTGACCCAGGTGAGGCTCGGACGGGGGTTTGGCGCGGTTCGCCCCACGGCCGGTGACGCGCACGTGTGCCCACTCCAGCGTCGGGACGTCCCCTGTCAGCTGGTGTGGGTGTAGCGTTCGGTCTGGCGCGGGGCGTGCATGCACGCAGCGCTTGAATGATGATCCTCCACTGATAGGAATTGCCGTCTGATCGACAACTGACGTCGCCTCTGTGTCTGAGTGTATGCGCCGCGTCCCAGCTCCGCCGCGTCCCGAGCACCGGTAACCGCGTCGCGTGCTCGCAGGAGACCGACTACGCCGGGCACGCGGCTGGCGCGCGGCGACGGGGTGCGAGGAGCGCGACTATAAGGATGGCGCGCTCGCTCATCCCCAGCGACGGCCCGCCAGCACCTGAGGCGCCGGCCGGGTAAGCACGCGATTCATGCCACGGGCAGATCGCTCGCGTTCCGCCCGGGCTCGCGGCATGAGTGTTGTTGGAATGGGGCACGCACACTGCAGCTTTGTGTGGCTAGTTGCTGGCTCGATTTCACATAATTGCCCGTAGCGGAATGATGATCCTCCACTGATAGGAATTGCCGTCTGATCGACAACTGACGTCGCCTCTGTGTCTGACTGCACGCCCCACGCCTCGGCTCCGCCGTGCTCCAAATATCGGCTGACGTGGCGTCCTGCGCTCGCAGGAGGCCGGCGGTGATAGCTGTCGCGCTGCGGGCGGGGACCGGACGCGCCGCGATGGAGACGGCGCCGGCCGGAGGTGAGGCCCCGGACGGGCAGGCCCCACGCGCCTGACGTCACCGATCGATCAGCGGAGCCATTGATCATTGGCCAGCTGGCTGATATAGGACGTGCCTCATCCGGGCGACCGCGAGCGGCGTTGTTAGGGTTGAGTCAAGGCGGCTGGGACATTCGGGTGGCGCCATCAGACTTTGTCTCCATGTCCTAGCGCCATTTCTGGTTTTGTCATCCCCTGGATAATCACGCCGTGTTAGCATGGCGCCATTGATAGCTGGCAAACTACCTATTGGATTCATGAGACTTAACTGAAGCACGGGTGCGGAGAACGCCGTGTTAGCATGGCGTTCCTAATCGTTGGCACTGCCGATTGGGTTCGTGATCGATGCCCGTGCATATTCGGTTGTATGTCGGAGTTCGTTGGAGCAAGGATGGCTACATTTGGTAGTGGAAGTGTTGACTTCTTAACTTCATTGAAGTCTTGGTAATTATAGTTCCTAGTACCAATGGTATATGTTCTTATTTTGTACGCCTGGCCACGCTGTTTTTTTAACTGACTGTATGGAGCTTTTTGCTCGTTTTCTTCTGGAGGCGGGTGGGTGGGAGTGGCACGCCGCGGGTGTGCCGCGATTTCCTTGACTGACAATGCTTCCATCTGTGTTTCGGCGTTCCCGCACGGCTGCTGCCCGCGAAGATTGCGACCGGAAGTGCCATATCGGTTTCATGTGTCGCACGATGAACGGAACATTCAGTAGAACTCGTCCTTTCTTTTCAGGGAAAGGCTGCTCCCTGCGCGGGGTCTGGCTGACTGAAGATGCTAGACGCCTGGCCCGACCCTGGATGAGGATAGTGTTCACCGGGGGTGAGTTTCGTGCAGTGACTGTGACGTCTTTTAGAGGCGCATCTGAGGTCGTATGTCCACCATGTGCTTCACTTAACTTAAATATAGTAGACATGCAGGCGACCTGAAGTAAAATGATGATCCTCCACTGATAGGAATTGCCGTCTGATCGATATTTGACGTCATTCATGTGTCTGACATAAACGGCGCCCCTGTACGCACGTTGTGCCGTGTATTAATGACTAATGGTGTTCGCTTTGTATCTCAGCGGGGTACTAAGTCACCCGGACCGGTGGTCACGAATCAGCCCGGACGAGCATTCAATTGCTGGCATTCACGGCCTGTTCAAGTCAACGGTAAGTAGGGCTGAACCGCCGACCTACGTCATTGGACGCGATGGGGGGGATGGGTGTTTCCAGTCACTAATGTGTGACTTACCCATTTATTCAACTTTCGAGGATGTAAAAAGTTCATAGTGGAATGTGGCTGGGTGTTCTGCGTTCCACCAAGCAGCGGCTGTGTGGCTTACTCTGCGGTTTCCAGTTCGGGTGTGCACACCGCGACTATTTTCCTTTGCTGAGCTCCGCCCCTGCTGAGAGCGCGGGTGTTCTCCGTGTTGCCAAACCGTGGTCCTAAGAGGGACTATCGAAGTGGCCGAAGCTGCGAACATTGGATGGCTATTCAGGGGATTACAGGTAGCGTTACAATGTCATGTAGATGAAAATAATCATGAAAGTACTAGTCGGTCCATGCAGTGCTCGTTGGATGTTGAGTGGCCTTGTGCTCAACCATCCTCCATATCGCTGCGATAGAATATCTATCTCCTTCCTGTATGGTGACTGTCGCGCTGTGACAATTCATCAAGTATAAGGGATGCACAGATCCGAACGAGCTGGTGGCGTTTCGGGGCGGCGCGGAGCTGTACGCTGTTTGGCGTGAAGCGGTCGACACATGTTTGGGAGGTGCCGGTTCTCCGACGCTAGCGACAATCACTGCACGCCTGTTATTTTGTACGCCTGGCTACGCTGGTTTTTTAACTGACTAGAGCTTTTTGCTCGTTTTTGTTTTGTTTTGTTTTGTTTTGTCTTCTGGAGGCGGGTGGGTGAGAGGGAGTGGCACGCCGCGGTTGTGCCGCGATTTCCTTGACTGACGGTGATTCCAGCTGTGTTTCGGCGTCCCCGTACGGGTACTGCCCGCGTAGATTGCGACTCGGGAGTGCCAAATCGGTTTCATGTGTCGCACGATGAACAGAACATTCAGTAGAACTCGTCCTTTCTTTTCAGGGAAAGGCTGCTCCCTGCGCGGGGTCTGGCTGACTGAAGATGCTAGACGCCTGGCCCGACCCCGGATGAGGATGGTGTTCACGGGAGGTGAGTTTCGTGCAAAGGCCTGTGACGTCTTTTAGAGGCGCATCTGAGGTCATATATCCACCATGCGCTTCACTTAACCTTACTATACTGTACATGCAGGCGACCTTAAGTAAAATGATGATCCTCCACTGATAGGAATTGCCGTCTGATCGATATTTGACGTCATTCATGTGTCTGACATAAACGACGCCTTTGCACGCTTGTTGTGCTGTGTATCAATGACTAATGGTGTTCGCTTTGTATCTCAGCGGGGTACTAAGTCACCCGGACCGGTGGTCACGAATCAGCCCGGACGAGCATTCAATTGCTGGCATTCACGGCCTGTTCAAGTCAACGGTAAGTAGGGCTGAACCGCCGACCTACGTCATTGGGTGCGATGGGGGGATGGGTGTTTCCAGTCACTAATGCGCGAATCATCATCCCATTTATTCAACTTTCGAGGATGTGAAAAGTTCATTGTTGAATGTGGCTGGGTGTTCTGTGTTCCGCCAAGCAGCGGCTGTGTGGCTTACTCTGCGGTTTCCAGTTCGGTCATGCACACCGCGACTATTTTCCTTTGCTGAGCTCCGCCCCTGCTGAGGGCGCGGGTGTTCTCCGTGTTGCCAACCCGTGGTCCTAAGAGGAGCTATCGAAGTGGCCGAAGCTGCGAACATTGGATGGCAGTTCAGGGGATTACAGGTAGCGTTACAGTGCCATGTAGATGAACATAATCATGAAAGTACTAGTCGGTCCATGCAGTGCTCGTTGGATGTTGAGTGGCCTTGTGCTCAACCATCCTCCATATCGCTGCGATAGAATATCTATCTCCTTCCTGTATGGTGACTGTCGCGCTGTGACAATTCATCAAGTATAAGGGATGCACATATTCGAACTAGCTGGTGGCGTTTCGGGGGCGGCGCGGAGCTACACGCTGTTTGGCGTGAAGCGGTCGACACATGTTTGGGAGGTGCTGGTTCTCCGACGCTAGCGACAATCACGCGCGTGCGCGGGCAGAATTGTGTTTCTGGGGCTCAGGAGTCGCGGGCATCGTTCTGAAGATAACCAACAGGCAACAATTTTCGTTTGCAGGCGTGAGATCCGTTTCGTCGCCTGGAGTGCATCGCCCGAGTTGGCCGTGCCTGCACCAACGCTTGATCTGCACTCGGCGTTACAACGCCAGCAGAGTGAACCATCGGGGAATGCTGCATATCGTGATACGTGTCTTACGCTGGCACCGGCTGGGTGCGTTGGGGGGGGGGGGGGAGGATTGTGACCCGCGGAACACAACGTTAAGGAGCTAGTGCGAAGTCTGATACTGTGCAATAAACATGCCATGCAAGTTGCTAAGGTGTTTTATTATCAAAATAGTACTGAGATTCTGTGCGTTCATTTTCCAACGGCGAACCGCCGGTGCGCCGCCAATGGCTCGACGAAAAATTATTCAGGTAAGGACAACGGGCGAGATGCTCGTTGCTCGGATGAACGGATGCTCGTCCCAGCGTGGAAATGCCGATTAGTGTGGAACGCGGTCACTGCATTGGTGAACAATCATTCATCGGAGAAGGCTGAGCGAGGGAAGTGGCAGTCGTGTGTCTGCTGCGTGGCCGACGCCTGGATTGCCTATGGCGCCGTTGACTATTTTCGTTGCAATTGACGCCCGCCGCAGGTGCCGAATGCCAACTTGGCACGGGTTTCCCTTCATATTGATGCGCAACCGCCTTGACGGATTGGTATCTTGCGTCTCTCAGGTGCAAACTCGGCGCCGCGCGAAGTCACGGCCCCTTGGCGACGGTAAAACGCGAGCCTGGTTGTATTGCGCGTCGAGTTATTGACTCATGGGTCGAGGTTCTGAAGGTCTGAAGTATCGCTTGTCAGGCGCTGGTGCCACTATATGGAGTGGATGGTGGTTCATGGGTGGCCACAGAGGCTGGACGTAGGTGAGCGGACTCTGCACTACATTGGGTATTCCTACCTACCGTATAAGGGCGTGTCGTTCGTGTACTGTATTGACGTGGGGCTCGCGCATCCTTGACTGAAACGGTCGAAAACACCACTCGGTCAGAAAGGCCGGCAGGCAGCACAGATAGGGTCGTGGCCCCCAATCGATCCCGGAGGGACCACGGCACGGAGTGCACCGGGGGGCCGACCGACACTGCTCGCCCTTGGGCGGGTCGCCCACCTCCCTTCGTACGTAGTGACTGTCTGGTTGCAGTACCCGAGACACCTGTCAGGCAATTTCCGCCGCCTGGCGGCCAGCCTCGGCGCCAGCGCCGGCGTTTCCGGCAGCCAGGGTGCCCGCTGCCTGGCGACAAGACTCTAAACCAACTATCCGCCGGGGCCCGCGATGCACGCTTAAAGCCACGCACACGTACGTAAGCGCAGTGCACTCGCATCATACCGTCCATAGCTCGCGCGGCGGCGGGCGAAATGCTGCACGCCCGACACGCTCGGACGACTGGCGTAATCGTCCTTCTCAGGGGGGGGGGGGGGGGGGGGATCGGCATTTGCCCTTTCGTCTGGACGCGTTCGCGAAACACGGTGCCGGCAGAGCCCAAGCCGCCTCGTGAGTGGCATGCAGGACGTTCCGAGGCTCTGGCGAGACGCTGAGGCCGCACATCTCGTGCACGGCAGGAACGGCTCGGCGCTGCGCCCTGCGGCTGCTCACAGAGCCGGGTCGACTCTACCGCGAGACCGAGCACCTGTCGCCCCGCATACGCTTGTTTATCTGATAAGTATTGTGTGTGCCTGTTACCGATTTCTTCGTGAAGCTTTAAAGCGCTTGATTGTGCGAAGAGTGAGCGTTGTCGCCGACACCTAGCGGTGTCGACGAAGAAAACTGCTTGCATGCGATTATTTTTTGCAGCATTGTCCCTCAACTGACTTCATCCAACAAAATCATTCAGATCTGATTTATTTAGGTTCGCCGGTACACGTGGAACATTCTCTCAATGACTTGATGTGCAGCTGTGTGTAATGTGCAGGTGCGTGTGTGTGTGCGTTTGGTTAGATTTTTGTTTGTGTATGTATCGTATATTTATTGTTTTTAAAACTCGACTGCTTCCGTAATTAGGTTTTTACCTGTGGAATGCGTACGTCACAAATAAATAACAATCGATTACGTCTAAAGGTGTGTGCGGATACTATGCGCCCGCTCAGTCAAAGCATCCGAAAGTCCCTAACGTGCGCGACTTCTCGTACGCCTGCGCCATTTCATGCAGTCGCTTAACGCATGATCTTTTCATTTCATTGTTTAAACATCAGGCAGTGTTGATCTCGCAGTAGCTTCTGGCTTCCCGCCCAGTTATAGAAGATAAAAATGAACAGAATCGAATAGAAACATGCCCTCATTAATAAATTTGTCATGTCTGACGATTGGGGGACCTCACCGTCGGGGGCCTTTTGTCAACCCTGTGCCCCCTGCCAAGGCTGTGGCTGCGCCTGGTGTTAGTGGCGAGGCAATTGTCATCCAAGGTCAGGGCAACGTCGCAGCTACGTCAAGGCAAATCTCTAAACCCTTCATAGCAATTTTGGCATTATTTTGTATAGAACCAATAAAGTTAAAAATAAAAACCTGAAAAACTGTGTCAAAGCATCCGAGATCGAAATTATGGTAGATCAATCCATCTCACTTGCTTTTGGCGTGCTTTGGTACAAGTGCCAGTATGGTACATGGAGTACTTTGAAGCTTCACGGACCATTTTTCCAACTCTTGGATTCGTGCACTTCTCACAGTGACATTCAGGCTGGGTACCACACTCGTACAGTGCCTACCACAGCATAAGAGTAGGAGCGTTTCAAGAAGTTGGTGGGGGAGGGGAGGCAAACTCAGGGCGTACTTGCTCTTTATTCAGATGTCATGGATACTGTGCTAGATATGTATCTAGACCTGTTTCCCACTAGTGCACAATCTTTCCCATTCGACCCATTTGTCATTCGGCAAATAAGGCTATCCAGCTTCCCAGGATCATTTATCCATTTCGACACTGCCTTTCCTGGGGAAGCGAAATTCCACGAACGGGTAGGCATTTTGGATCATTGAGAAGGCATGTGTCCCCACAGGGTAGATGCCAAGATATAGGATAGGATGGTGATAATTTTGATAGGATGGTGGTAAAATATGATATCACCATCACATGGGATGGTGATAATTTCGAAAGTGAATGCATGGCTCACAGTGCAACATATTTTTATGCGCCTCCATTTCGCTGGCTGATTTTCAAGGAATATGATACTTGTCGCATCATTTTAGGCGGAAGCAAATTCAGAAGCTTAAAACTACCGAAAACGATGAGACAAAAGCCATGAAACTGGAAACTCTCCTTAAAAAACCAAGCCAGGGAATGAAGGCCCTTCTGTCATACATTCCTTATCCAGGCCCTGCTCTGTCCGTCGTGGGCGGCCACTGCCCTGGCTCGGCTGTCTCCCGCATGACTAACTGCGAGCTGATCGTATTGCTGCTTTATTGCATATTTCTGGATCAGCCTTGGCACTAAATGGGGTGTAAAACATATGTTGGACACATGTAACAGTACCTTTTCCCGAATTATCTTCCCTTACACCACACCACACCGGAAAAAGCCTCCGAGAAGCTGCCTGCCTTAGGTATGAATTGGCCGACAAACATTTAGTTGCCCGGCATTCAACGTAGACAACTTGATCTGCCTTTGTGTGTAAGCACTATCATAGCTAAAGCCTTCCTGAGAGGAACACACGAGGGTTGTCAAAAGCCCCTCTTATGGTGGTTCCCCCCCCCCCCAAACAATCCCAGATATAGTTTACTTGTTAACAAGGGATACGTTTTTTCGCTTCATTGTTATTTTCACGTTGTAACCAGAACAGAAACTAGAAGCTATCATCAGATCAATTCTGTTTGCATTTTTTAAGTCAATAAACTGCTGAAATCAAGTGTTGAACGACCGCATGAAATAAATCACCGGTGCCCTTAATTTGCAATGACTTACTGGACTCTTTCTTAACCGAGATAATTATTCAGAAGCTTTCTCAGAATGCTTTAGCTGCGTTCTACAGACATTGAAGACATGACGAAGGTAGATTGTAGATCGATATGTTTGACTGAAATTTGAAGATGAAAATTTCGTTGTAGATCGAGTGGACAGCAATGTGTATTAACATCGCCAAACCATGTTTGTCTGGAAATGTCTAACATTCAGTCAGAATTGATTAGTGGTACAACTTATGTAACGCGGCTTTTGACCACGTGCGCTCGCAAATCTTAACAAAAACCGCGACACCAGGCGTTGCATTCTCCATAATTCGCGGAGCGTTAGTTAGTGGTTGACTTTTGTGTTTGTGTAACTTTTAACTTAGTTAGTGGTTAACCCAGTGGATTAACTTTTCACCGTGGCTCACCGGTGGAGGGAAGTGACGACGCTTCTGAAATAGTTACATTTAAACACTTACATCGATTAGTAATGCAAGTTATGTGGCATACATGTAGCATAACAAGTTGTCACACTGCGAATGCGCGCCTGAAAATCTTGGTTACAAAAACCTCGACGCCAGGCGTTGCAGTCTTTGAAGGCCTCGCAGCGTACGCCAACAGCTAATATTGAGCCTTGGCCAACGGGTGGACGAAAATGATGACGCTTCTGAAAGAAATGCCTTTGGACGCTTCAGGATATCAAAACTTACATCTACAAGGCAGCCTGGGCGCATATTTCACATGTGCGATTTTTAGACTGGGAATAGAAGCGGATTGGCCCATAAAGCACCGCGAAGTGGTGCTGTAACCTGGTGACTAAACTGGAAGAGAAAAGGTAAAATCTCTATCTTTCGTGTTTCTGTAACTATTAATCTGCCCAGAAGACAGATCAACACGGTGCCCGCCGTCTGGTGGCACTTGCAATGGCCGACGCCGTTTGGTTTTACGGAAACTGGAACCTAGGCCATCGCTGTCCTTGCTCTCGAGGCCGCGGGCATGCATGTTCAAACCTTTTGGTGTATTTTTTCACTAATACATTTTGAAATATGAACGTTGTCAGGCAAACGTGGGATGACCTTTTTTTTTTTAGAAAAAAGTCATTTTGACCCACTCTATTCAACAACAATGAGACCTTCAATCTACTCAACAATAATGATACGTTTTGCTTCCTTCTGGGCCAAGGGGCCCTTGAGTAGAACACAAGGGACACATTACCAAGCAGCTGATATTGAGCCGTGGCCAAAGGGCGAATGAAAACGATGACGCTTCTGAACTAATTGCCTTCAAACACCTGCATCTATTAGTGACAGAACTTATGCGACATAATTTTGAGCATGCGCACTCGCAAAACTTGGCAACAAAAATCTCGACGCCAGGCGTTGCAGTCTCCCTGGGCCGCGCAGCGTCGGCTTGATAGTTAATATTGAGCGGTTGCCGATGGCTGGACGAAAATGATGATGCCTCTGAAAGAAGCACCTTTGAACGCTTCAGGACATAAAATCTTACATTTACAAGGCAATTTGGGCACATATTTCACGTGTGCGATTTTTAGACTGATCGTAAGAACGGATTGGCCCTTAAATCACCGCGAAGTGGTACCAGCTAGAATGAAGTGCGTGGAACTGGAAGAGTAAACGTAAAATTTTTTCTTCGTGTTTCTGTAGCTATTCGTCTGTCCAGAAGACAGATTAACACGGTGCCCGCCGTCTGGTGGCACTTGCAGAGGGCGACACCATTCGGTTTTACGAAGCTGCAACCCAGGCCATCGCTGTCCTTGCTCTCGAGGTTGCGGGCGAGCATGTTCTAACCTTTTGATATTTTTTCACTAATCCATTCTGAAAAAAATGAACGTTTTCAAGTCAACATGTGATGAGCTTGATCGGTTTTTAAAAAGTCATTTTGATCCCCGCTATTCAACAGCATTGAATCCTCCATTCTATTCAAGAATAATGAAGCCCCTTATTCCCTTCTGGGCAAGGGGCTCCTTGAGTAGAACACCAGGGGCATATTACCGTTTCCGGTCAAGGGCTGAGGGGTAACTCCGTTCCATTGCAAAGTGTCTTTTGGCTGTCATTCTAGCGACACGGGGCGGGACCTCCTGGTCGATCCGGAGGCCATTAGAGGATATAGCGTATCACAGTGCTCCCGTCCCTGACATAGGAGGCCTTCTGACCCACGCAGTTGGCCCCGGATCAGCGCAGGAACCCTCATTGACGCGATAACATTCCTAATCGCCGCAGGTCGTCCAATAAGTGTCACAGATACTCCAGTTCCATGTTTTTCTGTTTTTCAGATACTTGCGGAATCCCTGAACATAGATTGCAGACGAAATGAGGTCCAATTTTGTATTAACATGGCTAATCTATGTTCGTCTTAAAATGTCTAAGATTCAATCAGAATTGATTACTGATAAAAACTATGTATTATGGTTCTGAACATGCGCGCTCTCAAGTTATAGCAACAGCAGCCTGTACCCCCAGCGTTGCAGTCTCCATAGTTCACGCGTCGTCGGCCTGCGGCTGTGATGTGATGGTCAATAAGCAAACAAAAAAGATGACACATCTTGAGGAAGATGCCTGGTGAACTAGGCAAATCGGCATGTATGTTTAATGTGGTGTAAAAGTAAGCTAAGCGCAACCTTAATTTGAAAACTGGAGCCAGTTAACACTGTTGTCCCCCCCCCACCTTGAAAAGTGGGGGCCATGGCCACCCTGGCCACCCTGTCCCTACATCCATGCACCACAGTGCACTGCTTATTGCACTTGCATTAGTTATTTTTCCCCATATGATAAGCACAGAGGTTGTGTTTTAAAGAACCATTAAATCCGACCGCTGAACTGATGATAAGACTTATTCAATACTATGCATTCTTTGGTAAATTATAAATCAGATTCGGTTAAGTGCTCACAGTGAAATATTTTGTCACATAGTACGCATAAATCACCCGCGTTTTAGACCAAATTTTTTTTATTAATAAATATTTATTATATTAAATATTTATAATAAATATTTATTATATATTAAATATTTAATAAATAATTACCATAAAACCACGAATTTAGCATGCATGGACACGTTAATCCCTGATTTGGCGTTGAGCATCCTATTCCATTCAATTCGTCCCGGACGACCTCTTAGAGAATGCAATCCTTTTTCATGCTGAATGGACTTCCCCATCTGAATGGATTTCCCCATCCAGCCAAGTCAAACACGTTATCAGTTGCACAAGTATCTATTCATCTACGAACTATTTTTCGCGGACTTAAGTTCAATAATGAAAAGGCAGTGCAAGAAGTGCATAAGGCAATCGCTCACGTCATTTGTATGAATTCGAGATCATTTGACGCAGTGAGAAGAGCGGTGAGAAGAGGAAGCCATGTCGGCGCGTGATGACTCAGTCAGGCCCGGTGACGTCGGACTCGTTGGTGGGTGCGCTCGCTGACCGACAAACGCCGACGTGATGTCAGAATGCGTCGGTGATATTCGCCCTGGGGGGAAGGCGAGGGGGGGGGGGCTGGAATTATTAATCCATGGAGTGTATGACGCTGGGCTGAGAGGTGTTGCACCGAAGACCACCAGGCACCGGTTACGGCGCCGGTTACGGGTGCTCCCGGTCGCGCGCGGCCGCCGCCGGGTCGCTCCTGTAGTCGTTCGCTGAGCGGACCTCACCGTGCTTCACCATATGGTCGACCAGCGAGGCCAGGAAGACGTCGGCCCGCACGGTGGCTGTGTCGCAGACGACGAACAGCTGGCGACGGGCTCGCGTCACCGCCACGTTGATGCGGCGTCGCTCGGCCAGGAAGCCGACCTTGCGGCGCTGGTTGGAGCGCACCAGCGAGAGCAGCACGGCCTCCTTCTCGCGGCCCTGGAAGCCGTCCACCGTGCCCACCGCCACGCCCAGCTTCAGCTGACGCAGGCGGGCGTCGACCAGGTCCAGTTGCCGCTTGTATGGCGAGATGATGCACAGCTCGCCGGCCTCCAGTCCGGCGCGCAGCAGCGCACGCGCGTGCGCCACCACGATGTCCGCCTCGCCCTGGTTCGCGCACGAGCCTGTGCTCGAGTCGCTCGTCTCCTCCAGCCGGCAGCCGGCCGTGTCGATCAGCAGCAGGACGGGGCCCGTCTCCTCCGTTTCGCTCACGTTCGGCAGCTGCGACAGCCGGTGCTGGCGCACGGCCGGCGCCGCCTTCAGCAGGCCGCCGTACATCGCCTCCGACGGCCAGCGCTGGATCAACTCGTGCATGCGGTACTGGGTGTGCAGCTTGCACACGGTTGCCGCACCATGCAGCGTTATCTGGCGCTCCATCAGCGACACGGCCAGGCCCTTCTCTGCGGCCTCCCGACTCAGGACCGTCGGTGGCAGCTGGGAGTGGTCACCGGCTAACAGCAGCTTATCAGCGAGCGGCACCGCCAGCCAGCAGGCCGCCTCCAGTGCTTGCGAGCTCTCCTCGATCACAGCCAAGTCAAACGGCGCCTTGCCGGCTGCCGCATCATGTCTGAATGCGTCGTTGCCGTCGTCGTCGGACAAGTCTATGATATTGACCATCTCGCTAAGTGAACTGAGATTACCGAGCGACCCACTTAAACCCGAGAAGCTGCGGTCGACGGGCTTCAGGTTTGCAGCGTGCGACAGCGTACACAGAACGACCTTGGCTGAGCCTAGTATTTTCGCCGACACGCGGCTCCACTGCGCCCTTTCTGCTTTTTTGTCGTCCTCTAACATGCGAAGACTTCTTCGTCCTCGAGTTTCTCGAATGTAGTTTTTGACTTGCCCTTTGAGGGTGAAGTGTTGCAGCGACTTGCGGACGCACGCGAGATTGCCCAAACGAACCATCCTGTCGGCACAAGCGGTCTTCAGATGGTCCAGAACGTTGTCCACCGCATTGTGTGACGCCGCGCACACGGGTACGCGCTGGCCCAGCCGCTGGTGCTGCAGGATCACCTCGACCACGGTGATGGTTTTGCCGGTGCCAGGCGGGCCGTGGATGACGGCCAGCCGTCGCTGGCGCAGCGCGAACTCCACCGCGCGCCGCTGGTCGTCGTTCAGCCGCTGGTTTATAGGCTGTAGCCGGCCGTCGTCCCCTGCCAGCTGCGGCGGGAGGCGTGGCGTCTGCTGCTCCAGCGGCGCCTCGGCGAACAGCGCGGCCCGCATGCGCAGGATCGGCCTGCTGCCCGCCGCCAGCTCCTGTAGCGCCTTCACCATGCTCCTGTGGGTGATGTCGTCGGCCGTTCTTGTCACGTCGACGAGCTCACCAACGCGGAGCAAGGTGTCCTCTCCGAAGTCTAGCGTGACCTCGGCGTTGGTGACGCGCGATACGACTGCGCGCCAGCCGTAGACTGGCACTGAAGTGGGCGAGACCGCGCGGCCGGTGGCGTGGCACGTAATCACGTGGTCGGTGGCGCGGATCCCGTGCGGGGGCAGTTTGTCTTTCCAGCGGCCGGTCGAACGCAGCGTCAGACGCTGACCCCAAAGCGTGTCGCTGGCGGCAGTGACGATCAGCTGGAGCAGAGAGCCGCCTGGTACCTGCTGCCGCTGCCGCTGCTGTTCGTGCTCCATCTCCAGCAGGCGCAGGTGCAGACGGACGAAGGCCGGGCAGCCTAACGGCTCCATCGTGTCAGCAGCTGCAATGTCCGGGAGCGCCTTAGAGGCATGTGCCGGAGCCAAACGGCCGATCGTGGGTCACGGGCTGCCTATGGAAACAATTGCACTGTTCGTCTTATTGGAATGTTCCCGTTTGAAATCGGTGCAACGTAAAGGTCTGGGATGTTGTGCAAAACTCCAAAATGCATCGCACGGTGATGAAACTGTAGCAACATAGCTAAACTTCAGCGCTGTTTAGGCAACAAAAAACGTGTCCATTATGGCCAAAGACCTTAGAATTTCACGCGACCACTTTGCACTTTACTCGCAAGCATGAAGATATAGCAGCTTGAGCAGAATTCGTGCCAGGTTACCATATTTCATGTGCAATTGTGGCCGCTCTACAAAGTGTCTCCTCATTGCCATGCTGAAGCTTCGACGATTTTGAGACGCTTTACTCGACGCAGATAGGCGATTGATGTGGCAGTCGGCACCGTGACCTCAAACCCCATTGGTTGCCTGAGACGCTGAGTTGCGGAGCGTACTCAGCCGTGTGTCTTCTATTGGTGCGCGCTACGAAGGTGAATCCTAAAATCTTGAAAGCTCGGGTCGAGCGGGGTGGGGGTGGAGGGGGGACGGTGCGGTCACGGTGCGGTTGTTCAGGGGCTTTTTGACATGTTAAGCGCTATGGAAGGCTGCCATCCACTTGGCCAAATCCCCTTTTCACCAATGACAAGACATTCGTCCCACTCACAGCTGTTATTAACCCTGCCTTTATTTTATTTATTTATTATTTATTTATTAGCCCTTCATGCCCAAACGATATATCGTATCCAGCGCTTCATATGTTTTTGTCGTTTTACATGTGAACACAAGAATAAGATGGCCAAAGTCCGATAGGAACTATGAGTTTTGGGTGAGTTCAAAGATAGCTGGAAATGGTGTTGCTAAATTGAAGCTCCGAGTTCCATGAGCGTCTCACTTAAGATACGCCATCACAGGTCAGGACACGTATTAAGCTGACTGGAATCTGGTAACAATATGGCAGCATTTCCAACATGCTATATAAACTCAGCTATTGTTGGCCTTTTATGAAGACGTTGTCATCGACGGATTACGACACATTTAGGTGCTGAGGCTTTACGACATCGCCTGCCTGTCACCCTCGCAGGAAGGGCGGACGGTGCGGGGATTGGAACCCCGTGCCTTTGGTTACCCAAGCTCCCAGCTTGGCCATTGCACTACCGGATGAACTATTTTATGCGTTGGTCTAACGTGAGGAGATGGTGACGTGCCGGGGTATCTTATTTTTTTTGTGTGGGGGGGGATGGCTTAACCCACACAGTAGACCTAACCCACCCCTAAAACCCGATTTTCCACAGCATTTCGGTCGCAATCAACTGGTATCACCTTACTCGCCGAATGAAGCTCATCAAATCTTAACATGTCAGTCACTTCATTAAAAACTTGACACAAGTCCAAACAAATTTAGTAGTGATGAAAGAGTGGCTTAAATGACTTGCTTCCGTGCGTTTCCTTCAGGCTGCTGACTTACCCTAATCGTGCCGGTCTGATTTCCGACAGCGGTCCAACCTGACGCTCCCGTCAGCCCCCTGTCCTTTCTTCAAACAAAGGTGCACGCTCACACTCACCCGATCGATTTGAGCTGACGCCTCGGGCAGTCGTGCGCCCAATCAAACTCATGGGCGCGAAAGCCGGGGAGCCCCACTATCACGCAGCGGATGCTTCAATATCGTGCAGTTTTCGCCAAAGTCATGCGTCTTGAGCAACGGCACCACCTAGCCCCAGCCACCCCATGCCCTCTCATGACCTTGCCTGGACAGGGTGCCCATGCTTTGTTCGCACGCGCCTACGGCTGAGCTGCCGCCCATCGACGTACAGCTCGTCACGCGGTGCTCGGACGGAGCAGGCGATCGTTATGTTGTGCAACACCGGTTGCCGTGACACGTTGCCGCGGCGGTGGAGACCGGCTTTATTTGGCGGTTGCAAGTGCGAAATGGCGTACTCCGATGCCGATGCGCGTTCGGAAGTGTCGCTGACGGCGTGGAGGCCTTGCCACCTGTTGAACGCATTGTCTGTCTGGGGAGAAGACATGTTCTTGGACCTTGGCGTGTGCCAGGGACCAAAATAAGTGTGCGCATATGATGCGGTTTTCCTAGATACATCTGTATACGTGCCGACATGTAACACCTTATTCAGTACAAACGGTAGCTATGCAGACGCGTAATAAGCGAGCTACTGTTGTCAGTTAATGCAAAAATTCCGTTGAGTACGCTTACGGCATGGTGGTTAAATACGGAATCTTGTGCAAATAAGTCATTTGTGTGTACGATTTGTACAACTGTCAGATTCGCTTCAAACAAACACAATTTGCTGGCACGGCCATTACCTTAGACAAGTTCGTAAAACCATCAGTGCATCCGAGGTCCCAGCGTGCCCCTCAGTATTCACACCTCCCAGTGGTCCACGGGCCGTCTGTGCACGGCAGCTCGGGAAGATCGTTCCAGCCACTTACCGAAGCGACTCAGGGAGCTGTTGTAAGAGAGAGGGGCTGCTTTGCCAGTGCGGTTGCGGTGGGATGAGTGGTGCGATTACCACCGCAGATAACGATAATCACCACGACGATTACCACCGCGGATAACGATCATCACCGCGACGATTACCACCGCAGATAACGATAATCACCGCGACGATTACTACCGCAGATAACGACAATCACCTCGACGATTACCGCCACAGATAACGATAATCACCGCGACGATTACCGCCACAGATAACGATAATCACCGCGACGATTACCGCCACAGATAACGATAATCACCGCGACGATTACCACCGCGGATAACGATAATCACCGCCACGATCACCACCGTAGATAACGACAATCACCTCGACGATTACCACCGCAGATAACGATACTCACCGCGACGATGACCGCCGCGGATAACGATAATCACCGCGACGATTACCACCGCAGATAACGACAATCACCTCGACGATTACCACCGCAGATAACGATAATCACCGCGACGATTACCACCGCAGATAACGATAATCACCGCGACGATTACCATCGCAAATTCGCGGTAATTGTTGCACAGAGGTGGGTTGCCTTCAATCGCTGTCCCTTGGCGTGGCATTTTAGAAGATGTCTCAATATGCAACAGCAAACCAGCCGTTTACTGCTTGAAGTTCCACCGCTAGCTGAAATTTTGAATAGTAAATGACATACGCACAGCATACATGCGTATAAATTTTTAAGACGTGTTTTTACATAACGACAATGTTTACGTACGTACGTGAAAATGAGCGTAATGTGATGCGAACATCGCTCCGGGCCTGGGGCAGATGCTTCTGCCGTATATTTAACTTACAGACACTTGTCCAGGCAGACGTAATGATTTTACCAACATTTAGCCAACGTGGTTGGAGTCCCCCAAAATATGCCTTTTGAACAGATAGCTTGTGTTTCCAATCGTACTTGAGCCATCGGAGAAACTTTCGCTGTCATTCTTCGTCACTAGTTCGATTCAAATAAATTGATTTGAGTCCGAAACGTGTATTGCATTGCAACGTCATCATAATCGGTTGCTGATGGAATACAACAAATACAAGATAATTAACACGTATTTACAAATGCATTAAGGTCGCGGTCATGTTCTGACGGTTGTAGTCAAGATCATTCATAAATGCATTTGGTAGACATGGTATCATAGCAGCACGCAGTAAAATATGAGCACTGCTAGGCGGACGAAATTATAACTTCTAGACATAATGGACGCAAAAACTACAAACGAGCCAAGTATATTTATATAACGAGCTGCATGCATAAATATAAATATCATAAAAATCAGCAAAACGCATTGCACGTTGTTCCAGTTCTGATCACATAGCTCACGTCTTTTTTAATAACATCGAGCAATTTTGGGTAAACTCTGGGGGACGTGACACTTAAAGATATTTAATAATGTGCTATTTTACCAAATGTGGCAACTTGACGACACATGGCAGCCTTCAGTGCACACCTGCACGCTAACATGCACTTCCAACTGGTAGTGAAAGATCATCTGAGGTCGTTTCATGACCTTAGTCTTACTATTGGCTTGCTTAACAGCACCACTGTACCATTAGTACAGCGACAATGTGTACTACACCACTTTGGGCAAGTTGCTGAGGCATGAGCTTGACCCTGAAAGGCTATTAAGTTGCATGTCACTTGTATGTCTTTCATGATGAAGGACATGCATTCTGCACCCTACAATCCAACAATGCATCTTGGATAGAAGCAAGTGACATTCGAGGGCCTCTGGTCGCATTGTACCTGCCAGGTAGTGCTGAGGGGCATTGGGATGATTGACAGTGCTACGCGCTGTGTTCACCGACTGCTATCCTGATTGCGTGCGTTCGCTGCGATGCACATTCTAGAGCATCCACCAGACATGTGCTTGGCACGGATTTACTTCAGCGCTGGCCTCATTTTGCGGCCATTATTGCTAGCCTAGCTAGCAATAATGCCCTTATCTAGCCCTTATCAGAAATGTTTGGCCGGCGGGACAGGCGAGAAAATGCCGAATTCTAAACTAGCTCAAGTTAATTGCTCTCTTAAATGTGCAAAGAGTATGGCATGCCTTTTCCTTTGTCCCCTCCTACACCAGTTCTTCATACAAAAAAGCAAGCTCTGAACCATGACGCCATTGGACGGAGGTTCGGCGCCGTCCCACTTTAATTTGTCCTGTCGCGTCATTCGCGACATCTTCGACACCGCCTCTCAGATTCGTTTTCCGCTTAATTCTAACGTAAATAGCGTTCCGGGCCTTAGAGGTGTTTTCTGCATCCAGAAAGCGTGTGAGAAATGCGAGTCCTACTAGAGTTGAGAAATGTCTACTTACGTAGCCAGCTTACATAGAACGCAAAAAACAAAACCCTGAAGTCTATGTTTAAGAGTCATTTAATGACCGCTTCTTGCCATTTTCTGTTAGGTATTTGAGCTGCAAATTTTAAATTGTCTTCGCTACGCAACCGAGAAAATGCTTGTACGTGTATCCTGTGCAATATTCAAACAACAGCAAACGCCCAAGGCGACCGGCGAACCCAAGTCCCCATTCTACAAGTAACCCTTTTGACGTTATTTCAGCGTTAGTGACGTTGAATGGAAGGAAAAGGTCTTGTGTGCCATTTTCCAGCTTAAAAGCCTTTTTAGAATCATAGTCAGCTTTTTTAAAAAAAAAACTCGAAATTTGGCAGCTTATTTCTTAGAGTAGATCCTTTCAACACGAAATAAAAGGCGGCAGGAAAACAACAGCAGTTTCACCACATCAGTTGTCACAAATGATCATCTAAAAAATAGCTGTTGTTTTTTGTTAGTTCTTACGTCACAAGCAAGCAAATCGGAAATTACACACGTAATTAGCTAGCCAAAACGGCCGCCCCCGGCCGGGTTCATCGCGGCCAAATTTCAAACAATTACAGCTGCGGGTCACCGCGTGACTTCGTCTCAACGAATTTCCTAACTCAGTGTCTCCTTGGTTATACCGTAGCCTGCGAGCCTGACGCTTTATGTTGCGAACGAACAAACAAATAGGGAAAGACCAAATTATATTTATTAAGACCAAACTAAAGAAGATTCGAGTCAAAAACACCCATTCCTTGCATCTTCAGCCCGAGATTTCAGTTCACGACAGTCAAAACGCGAGATAGGGACCGTGATTATGTACACCGCCCAACTGCCGGTAGCACGAACGGTCTGATTGTCCGATTGTCATCATGCATTGATTACCATACACATGCCATATCATTGATTGCCATCATGCCATAGACACCGGGACTCGCTAATCAATCGCCTGGACTCCACGATCCGCTGACTGCTTTGTGGCTTCCCCATCATATCACGGCCTCAAATTTTACGGGAGTTTCCTGAATTTCGCAATCCTCTGAAATGTCTGAAATATTCGGACCACCGTCAGAGTCTTGATCTTTATGGAATCGTTTTAGCCCTGCTATTCGACTCATGGCACGTATACTTCTTGGATGGTTATTTGATTGTTCCTATGCTCTGTAGGAATGTTGAGAAACCAGTCAGCTTCCTTGTGGCATCGTGTGTATTTCAAAGCTTCTTGCCTGTTACAGGCTGCCATCAATCACGGAATACATGAGATACCTACTTAGAATGCGTACAAATACTAAGACACTGCGAAAAGCAAATCGACGGAGGATTTATATCAGAGCACAGCCATGGGCTTAACATTCCATTTGATTTGGAGAACACTGGCATCTGACCGGCGACGGCCGGTAAGATTTGAGCCGCGCCGACCAAAGTCGGTGTGAGGTGCACGCGGGCGTGGGGCGATGCCAACGGAAGAGGTTCGCACCATTGCCGGTCTTTGCTGGCTGGGTGGCCCGGCCTTCCCGGCGCTGACGTGAAGCTCACATGCCGGCGAAGCGTGCCAGGTTCAGGAGTACAGGCCGTGCCTCATCCATTCATCCAGCGTGAACGTGACTCTGTGGTCGCCGTCCAGGTCCCTGGCCTTGAAAAGTTCTGAAAAGCACACTTCCTCAATGTCTAAAACGGGATGGGTGGCGGGCGTGCAAGTTATTGCATAGAATCCTCGTCCCGACAGCTCAGGCCGAAGAACATCAGGCGCTGCTAACTGTGCGGCAGGTGTGTGGGGGGAGGGGGGGGGGTAGTCAGAGAGCTTTCACATTTCTGAGAAAATAATGCAATAATTGGATACGGTTGAGGCCAGTAAGAAATTATGTTGATATGTTGATGGAGCGCGAGTTTACTGATATGACACAAAAGACATTCTGTATGGATTATGGTCGTACTTGCAATACAGTACTCCACATGTATTTCCATTGAGGAAAGAAACGCTTCTCATGAATTCGTGTCAAACAACTGTACTGGTATAGCAACGCAGCACCTTCCAAAACAAACGCCACACTTCCAAGTTGTATACTTGTGCAGTCTAAAAACATCTTACTCGACGCAGATTGACATTTTTGACATTTAGTACAACTTAACAGACTGAACTATTTTGTGTTCTCCACCTTCTTATCATGGGCGAGGCTGTTTCAAACCTTGGGGATTGCACAAATCTTGTTAGTCTAGTAGGGATGAAGCATAAGTTTTGCTGTCATTAGCGGGCAGAGCTTTAGTTATGAATTTTTCTATAACCAAGGATATCTCGACGGGACGGGGACGATGTGATGATTTTCGTTTCGAAAAATTATGAACCAATTCGAAACAAGCTAACGAAGATCAGAGCGCACGGTAATTAGCTTTCCAGGCTTTCCTGTTAGTCTGAAAACATTTACAGTAAACTGCGTAAGCGAGCCCATTGGTGGCCAGCCGGCGACTAGCCGAGATGGTCAGGCTGAAAGAGGGGCGGGCATGCCACGGCCTTGCGCAATATTTTAAAAGATCTAGGCACAACAGTACTTGCTGCACTGTAATTGTTCTACTCGCGAAAGAGTCTCAGCTTGTTTGCTACTGGGCTATATGTCCAGCAGGGGCTTTGATACAAATAAGACAATGTGGGAAAAGCGTGCCGGAGTTTCTGCAATGCAGTGTTATGCAACGTCTTTTATTTTGTAGTTGTAACTCAATGTCTTTCATGCTTCATGCCATGCCATGAGACTTACCTAGGTAGATCTTCATCTTCACAGCACATGCAATGAAGTCATCAAAGGCTACCCGTCCTTCTCTATCTCCATATCTGAAAAAGAAGGGGCGAACTAAAACGAGGCAGAACATGATTTCGTTGCAGGATGAATTGAGTGCTTGGAGTACACTTACAAACATGGAGGAGGGAAATGAAAACAAAATTGCAAGCACACGAAACAATCGTGTTGTGTTTGAGTGCTACTGCGCATTCATGGGTGTTTTGGTGAGAAAGACTCAAACAAAACCTTTAAGTATTGCCACATAAAGTAACCAGACTTATAACCTTAATTCATTTCGACACGCGAAAGAACGACATCGAACTTCCCGTCGATTGGCCGCGTGTTTTGCGAAACCAAGTGTAACAACCAACGTAAGGCACTGCCTTCATATGATTCCGATATTTGTGTAAAACTGTTCTTTGGTTCAGCTACTTCAACTTCGTTGGTATTAATGTACCCATCCAGAAAACAGTCAACATGATCCTGATGTCTATTGCGCTGACGCAACGTGGCAATGTTGATTCAGAACTCCACAGTTACTTTGCCTTTCCCACGAACCTGTGCATGAGTGAGTTGAGCAGGTTGCTATTGACGTGGTAGCCGGACTCGTTGAGGGCGGACCGCAGCTCGAAGCCGTTGAGGAAGCAGCTGCCGGAGCGATCGTGCCTCCTGAACACTGACTTCCACAGCCGGATGCTGCTCCAGAGCGACTTGAACTCTTCCAGTCCAAGCTGGCCTGAGTTGTCCGCGTCCACCAGCGCGATCATGGAGCGCACCGTGTCCTTGCTGAAGCCCTCGAACATGAATTCTGTCGGCAGCACACGCCAGAGGATATGCGACCCTCTGCGGGAATCCGTAATATCAGAACCATGTCTCTTAACTTACAGTGTAGCATTCACCTTCCACGTTAAATCAGATCTGTGAACATTCACTTGCCTCCTTTGAGAAGGTCATCGAGAGCAGTCTTCAGCACGTGCCAGTCCACCTCCTGGTTGTCGCCGGCGACCCGGAGGAAAGCCCGGGACATCTGCACTTCGTGCCCCGGCTCCTCATCCGGCGCCAGCTGGTGTGTAAGCCCAACAACTCGCTTAGGTCAGATTATTATCTTTGTTGTGATTATCTCCACATCCACCCCGTCATTCAACGAGACCATTATTAAACTAGTTGCACACGGTTAGCATGCATGGTTTGTATTGCCTGGGATGTGGTGTTTTCTATCGGCATGCTACTTGACACTAGCTGGTGATTACGGCTGGCATGGTGACGGTAGGCGACTGGTGTTCTGAACTACCGAACATTCAATAAAAAAAACGACTGCAAATGAGACGGGCTAAAACACTTTTCACAAATTTATCAGCAAAATGATTGTTCGTGCTGTGCCAAATTTCAAGATAACCGCTGGTGTTTAAAAGGTAACATTCAAATCCACAGTGAACCGAGATCACTACAGTAAGCACATCATCAGGCTGGCCTTGCCAGGATCTTCGCGACGTCCCGGTTTATAAGCAACGAGACCTCCAACTGAACTCACCTCGACGACCCGTCCTGGGCCGACCTCCTCGTCATTCTCCTCCATGTTGTTCGCCTTCTCGGAGAAGATGCGGATGAGGAACTCGCTCTCCTCGTTGGGCTCGAACGTGCTGGGGATGATGCAGTAGGTGCCCGGCGGAAGCTTGAAGCGACACGACACCTCACGCAGGTTGATGAAGGCTGGTGCGTGTGCCACAGACGCGTTGTGCCGGAAAAAGTTGACGTCGAGTGGCTTTGGCACGCAGTGAGAATCTGAGAGCTGCAGGGAAAAGCCGGTGGCTGTTAGGTGGCGGCAGCAGATCACTGGTGACGACAGATGTGTCGAAAAATCGGGGTTGTCACATCGCGCTTGGCTAATGAACGCTTCAGTTTCAGATATAAAAGCCTTAGGTAACAGGAAAGCTTGCAACAAATCGCTCCGTTTATTGTTGCATTTGAAATGCCGTGAGCGCATTCTTAAAAGTTTTTGAACTGAGCGAATATTTGACACATTCTTTCGGAGGAACTCAACGATCCATCAAAATTCAGAGGCTTTCGAAATTTGAGCCCTCATATAAATAGATCGCTTTGAGGCACAACTGACAGAGGAATGAATCACAAATGGCAATCAACGTGAACCTGATGCTGGTCCCAAAATACTCACGTCGTAGATGCAGAACCCAATCTGGAGGCAAGCTAGATTCTGAGCGCGTCTGTTCTTCTGCATCAAGGCCACGATCACTGTACACTTGCCTTCCTCGTCATCCTCGTCCACGTCCTCAAGCTGAACCGAATATTGCGGGTTGTGGGCAAACGTGTCTGTGAAAAATCGGATGTGTGTACTCCATCATTTCGGATCGCAAACCCTGTACTCCCCAAGTTCGGATCGCAAACCCTGATTTACGTTTGTAAGCAAAACCATGTAACACCCAGAGATGACCCATCACTAGTTTAATGACTGATAACGCAAGCACAGCTACAAAACTGAAGCTTAACGACTTTTATGCTTGACAATTTGTGTAAACGTCAGCAGCAAGCGCATGCCACCATCACAGCACACCACGCATCCGTCAGGGCAGTGGTAAAACACAGAACGTGACAACGGTAGAATGCAAATCAACTTCATGTGTTTCTAGTTCAGAGACAAGAATATCAGTGCGACACTGTGCGCGTGGTGGAAAGAGTAACGTGAAAACAGATGTGAGGGTTATCGATTATCACCATTGAGGTGATGATAATCGAACAGACGCTCTAATCGAATCGAATCGATAATCCATCAAAGCCCAGGAATCGTGCAATGGAGAGCTTAAGGTCGCTTGGACTACATGCATTTCGTTTTCCGGTATCATGAGCTCAGCATTCTTATGCTGACAGCAAATGAGTGTGATCAGCGCCCTGAAAATGCATACCTTACACGCTCCCGGGTGGCCGGTTGAATACTCTCCGTTCGGGTAGGGGGATCAATTTGACCCCCTGAAAATTCAACAACTAGGATAGCTAGAGATACCAAATTCACAGGGTGGGCTGCCCTGGACGTGGCCTCACTACTGTCAGGATTCAAGCACCTGAGTCATGACCTTGGGGTCAAATAAGGCCAGACAAGGTCAGACTCCAGAGTGGTGTCTGAAGTGTTCCAGACTTATTTATGCAATCGCCCTGAAGCCAACTAACTGTTCTAAGCAAAATGTCAATGGTGGTCAATTAAGGCCAGTGACCTGTTTGACCTTTCTGCAGTCAATGTGACCAAATACCGACAAGATTGCTCTATATTTTCTATTTAAATAAGCACGAGGGACTACGCTTGGCGGTGTGCTCCTAAAAACAAAATGCTGACCTGCGTCATTTTAGATCAGTGGCCTACTTTTACGCCTTAAACGTCTGTAACATGTCTGTTTCGATCCCTGTTTATAATAAACTCAAAATGAGCATCAGGGACTACTCATAACTCAAGTTCTCGAGTAAAAACCGCATTGATTTTGATCTCGGTCTGGCCTTCATTCCTGACCCTAGGTCAATGAAATTTGCTATAAGTCGAACTTCATCTGGTTTATTGTCTAAGAAACTATCTCAGTTGTGCATAGCTTTGTCTAACACTCTACCGTCTCGTAAAGTTGAACGATTTCCCAAAAATGCCCTTCGCTGACAGCAACAGCCTGGTTTTCATCCGACATACGTCAGCGACCTTACAAGATGCATCTAATGTTTTACATTACAAGATCCATTATTCGATTTTCTACAGCTATGCAAAGTTTGGCGCATCTACGCTGCGCCGTTCGGAAATCATTCTGGAAAAACCTCCAAGGGGCAAATTGACCCCCTACACGAGCGCATGCATGTTCATTAGGCAGCCAACATTTCGTTTTCCGGTATCATGAGCTTAGCGTTCTTATGCTGACAATAGCTGATCTTCAATACACCAGGGGTTACTGATACAGCGATGTTATCAAGCAAGCATTAGTCACAATGCCAACATTTGATGTCTTATGCTGTGCTCAGGTAAGCGCGGCCTGTGAGCCTCCGGCGTGCACTAGATGTTGTTTACTCATGCAGGATAGTTACTCCCATCTGCATGATCCCGCATGGGCCTGCAGACTTTCGCCGACGGCAAACCTTTTGCGGTGCTGACATCCCGAGCTTTTCTCGCCTCCGTATGCCCTACCGATGTAGTTCCTGCAGCCGCCGGCGGTGGCGCCCCGCACCCATGCCCCCTCGAACATGGACATCTCCCAACGCTTGGCTAGCGTGCTGTCGTCGTCATCATCCAGACTGTCCGGGCTCAGGTTACATATCTCCAGGATCTGCCGACCGGAGAACAGGTCAGCACACAATCTCCAGGATCTGCGTGTGGGCAGCAGCTCGGTAAGCATGGAAGCGTGGACAGAGTGGCGGAGGACTGTGGCGTTGCTGAGCGTGATGCGAGAATGTGCCCCGTTTTCGATGAGCACATCTGCATTTCACTGATAAAAAGATTATTTACGACAAGATAAGCTCGGCCTAAATTGCACATATACGCTGAACACGGTAAAATATTGGGTATGCTACGTTACAAAAGAACACCTAAGGAGGTCAAATTATCTGATTTTGCTGGATTATATGACGTGGTTAAGTCAATAATGGTCGTACCTTTAACTGCATACTAAAATTACATGACAACCCATTGCGCAACACGATGTGCTGTCGTCAAATTTATTTTACCTTCATGACGTTGCACCTCTTCGTGCTACGTCAGCTGGTGGATAAATTCCATAAACTGAACCTCATCCTCCATAGATCTAAAAGAGGCGACAGAGCCTCAAAAGCCGTGGATAGCATAATCTTGTTCTCTATTGTTGCAACGAACGTTCTGGTATCTGATGGCTTCATACTTGAAATCACTTATAAGCACCAGTTGAATCGTTCTCTTGGATGCGCCTCAATTGTTATACACGTCTTGCCTCAAAATGTTTGGTGAAGCCCTTGAAGGTCATCCAGAACTCGCCGTCAGCATCTACCGTCAGTCCCAGCTGTTTCTTCACGCCGTCCGGTATAAAGTTCCACTCCGGTGACCTGCCGCAGGTCATCACGCGTCACCCCCGGAAGTGGAGTGACCTCCGGACGAAACAGCGCCACGTTTCAATGTCATTTTAGATTGTCTGTCGAGCTGTTGAGCTGTAAAAACAAAGGTGAACCTCGAAGGGGACAGTCAGTTTATATACAGTATAACATTTTTAAAAACAATGACATTTATTGAGGGTGTCTTGGGGAAATGATGACACCTCTCACAGAGCTGTTTTGATATCCCCATTCTCGCCGGTTTGACTGCTTGTCCTAGGCAAAATGCCTCTCCCTTAACTCACCAGATCGCCAGACTTCTAATGGCATGAATCGCCTCCCGCAACAGTCTCTGCAGCGCGCCACTTAGCTTGAATTCACCCAACCACAGTCACGTACCTTTCCAGCGTTGCGCATTGACTGACACCCTTGCCAAATATTCTCGGTGATACCAAGCGCAGAGAAAACGTCTTTGACCTGTCGCTACCGTACAGGTCACTCCTCGCCGTGCACTCACGAGTCGGAGAAGGCGCCATTCCACTCGGCTTCGTTGCCCCAGGGGTTGCGCACGCGCACCATCGGGATCTTGCCGCGGACGCGAGGCGTCTCAATGTCGGCCATGCACGCCTTGGTGACCGAGTAGGCGTGGCCCTGCATCAGACCACTGGGTAATATGTCCTTAACCACCGCCGAGTCCACCTGTGGTCAAGACAGGCGTCCGCGGAGAGAAAGCTGCACAGAGAGCCTTTGGAAACCGGGGTCATATTACAACAGCCAAAAGCGACGAGTGGCTGGAGCTCAGGGAACGCCGGGACATTGTCTGCAAGCGGAGGAGCGCTAGCACATTGTCCGTGGGTGGAGAAATGCTGGGACATATCTGCGAGCGGAGGAACGCCGGGACACTGTTCGTGAGCGGAGGAGCGCCGGGACATTGTCTGTGAGCGGAGGAGCGCTGGGACATTGTCCGTGAGCGGAGGAGCGCTGGGACATTGTCCATCAGCGGAGGAACGCTGGGACATTTCTATGAGCGGAGGAGCGCCGGAACATTGTCTGCGAGCGGAGGAGCGCCGGGGAATTGTCTGCGAGTGGAAGAGCGCCGGCACGTGGTCCGTGAGCGGAGGAGCGCTGGTACATTGTCCATAGCGGAGGAGTGCCGGGACATTGCTATGAGTGGAGGAACGCCGGAACATTGTCTGTAAGCAGAGAAGCGCTGGGATATTGTCCTTGAGCGGAGGAACGCTGGGACATTGCACATGAACGGAAGAGCGCCAGGACATTGTCGGCGAGCGGAGGAGCGCCGGGACGCTGTCTGCGAGCGGAGGAGCGCCGGGACGCTGTCTGCGAGCGGAGGAGCGCCGGGAAATTGTCTGCGAGCGGAGGAGCGCCGGCACATCGTCTGTGAGCGAAGGAGCGCTGGGACATTTCTATGAACGGAGGAACGCCGGGACATTGCCTGCAAGCGGAGGAGCGCCGGGACATTGTGCGTGAGGGGAGAAAAACTGGGAACACAACCGCCTACGACTGACGACGCCTGCTAGAATCTGTGCACACAGAGACACGCACGGGACAATATCGTAACTCGTGACGCCTTTGTAATGTCATTCATCCTTCCAGGGCTCTGGGAAAAATCGAATGATGAGTTCATATACTGTGTTCTTTGGAGAATCCTCGCGAGCATTTGGCAAAATGTGCTTGCCAATAACGTGTAGACCAGTTTGAAAACTCTTCATGTGGTTGGTAGCGGGCCAATGTCTATGAGCGTTGCCTGCAGCACTTGTGATCAGTTGTAAGATGGTTTTGGTCAGCGCGCTCAGCTAATCTAGTAGAAAGGCAAAAGAGAGATGAGAGAGGAAGAGCTAAGATAGAGAGAGAGAGGTGGAGAGAGAGAGAGAGAGAAAAGAGAGAGAGAGAGAGAGAGAGAGAGAGAGAGAGAGAGAGAGAGGAGAGAGAGAGAGAGAGAGAGAGAGAGAGAGAGAGAGAGAGAGAGAGAGAGAGAGAGAGAGAGAGAGAGAGAGAGAGAGAGAGAGAGAGAGAGAGAGAGAGAGAGAGAGAGAGAGAGAGAGAGAGAGAGAGAGAGAGAGAGAGAGAGAGAGAGAGAGAGAGAGAGAGAGAGAGAGAGAGAGAGAGAGAGAGAGAGAGAGAGAGAGAGAGAGAGAGAGAGAGAGAGAGAGAGAGAGAGAGAGAGAGAGAGAGAGAGAGAGAGAGAGAGAGAGAGAGAGAGAGAGAGAGAGAGAGAGAGAGAGAGAGAGAGAGAGAGAGAGAGAGAGAGAGAGAGAGAGAGAGAGAGAGAGAGAGAGAGAGAGAGAGAGAGAGAGAGAGAGAGAGAGAGAGAGAGAGAGAGAGAGAGAGAGAGAGAGAGATAGCGTTATGACTTTAATGCTACTGATAAACACCGTCACCGGCGGGGGTCGGATGCAACAAGGCCATACGGACGGAGCTTCGCCCAGTTTGGACCAGAGGAGGGAAGTGCATGGATGAACTTGAGAGCGACGGAAGTTCCCTCCAGACGACCCACAATGGAGACATTTGAGGGTATCGGAGTACACGTCTACGCTGGTCGTCGGCTCAGCGCTGCAGATGAAGCACAGCTCGGTCGCGACTCTGGTTCTCTGAGGCACCAGCTGAAGACGCCGCCCCGCGCCGCGCACGGACCCCCTCTGTGGCCCGCGCCGGCGCGCGCTCATCCCTCGCGGGGCGCTCATCTCACGCGTATGGCGCAGCTCATCGGTGAATGGCGCTGGTGAGCCTTGAGCATGATCTGGAGGAGGTTGTCAGGCGCCTTGTCCAGGGTGTACCGCTCACAGAGGCCTCCGCTGAAGTCCTCCATGGCGTTCTCGGCCTGGCCTCCTTCCAGAGCCTCGTAAGAGCCATGCAGTCTGCAGTCGGGAGCAAAGTTTGGTTGGGCAATTTCTGTTTTCTTGACAGGAAGCGACTCAGAAATTACCTATTGCATGTTTAGATGCATTACACTCACCAGACATTTCTCAAAGGACTGGTACGGTTATCTCTACATTGCAGGACGCGTAACGCGATCGAGCCTGACCACGGCATAAAGGTGTTTTGTCGCAAGCTGCGCTGTTTCTCGGCACTTACTTGGCGTAGGCCTTCTCCAGCAGGGCGGACCAGAACTCGTGGTTGTCGGCCGAGTGCATGAAGGCCAGCTGTCCGTGGTAGGTGGGCAGTCGGTCGTCGATCACCACGTCCACCCAGCGGCCGTACTGCCAGAACCTGGCGGCGGGACGTGCAACACCGCCCGTCTGCCGTTTTTGGTTGGCGACGGGACCGGGCGGGCAGTGGCTTCCCGTCATCGCTATACCGTTGCTACTCATGCGCACATGCCGCACAGCTGCGTTTCACGGAACAGTATATGGCTTGCAGGGAACGCAGGCTGTATCAGTGTAGCATTACATGGGACAGGTGGTATCACGGGCAGGCTGGGTGACTCGCTGAAGAGAACGTATGCTGCACCGGTGTAGTATTGCATGGGACAGGTACTATCACGGGCAGGCTGGCTGGCTTGCTGAGCGCCAGGCTGAGCTGTAAAGATCCTTGGCGAATGCGTGCAAAGCATTCGCCCAATCAAGTCGCATGCAGCCCTCGCTGTTACCGGAAGTGGAAGATCCCAGCGTAGTCGTCATCTATCTCCTGGTCGTCTGGAACCACCCGCGCGAACAGTTCCTTGCTCATCGTGATGCTGGCCACCGCTGCCAGCACCCAGCAGTCGCCTGCCGGGGGGAGCGAGACGGGCCGCGTCGATGTCGTTGAGTATCACATGCTCATGCAGATACTATAGCGAGTGGCCAGAGCGCACCGGACGCCCCCCCCCCCCCTCCCCCTGGGTCACCTGCGTGCCCGTTACGAGGTGACCTTGCGGGGCTCTGGCGTGCCCCCATCCCCGGGAGGGTCAGGCCAGGCGAGTTTGGCTGGTACCGGCTAGGAAGGAAGTACCAAGACGTTTACGAATATTTGTAGATGCTTCAGGAAGTGGTTCACAGTGTTACTACTTGCGCTTGCGTTAGTCATACTTAGCTCCATTCACAGCGTTTTTGAAATTATCATTGCAAAGGAATGGATTTTGTTGTCAGGCGCCTTAAAGGCTTTCAACAACTTTTCATTTTGTATCTCTTTTTTTCTCGGGTACAGCAGCCCTAAGCTGCAAGGTGTTTTTGTGAAGATACGACCTCTCAAGCATTTGTCAGGTGCGATCTTATGTCCTCGGCAATATGGCGCTAGTTAGCCTTTCCCAAGAATACGTTGATCGCCTGTCGTATGACGTCAGAAAAGCGAACTCCGGTGGTATTACACCCGCCTTATGTATTAGTTTAGAAAGCTATCACAAGCCCAAATAACCAAGGAAGCTGACGCACGCTTAAACTAAAAAAATGACTAGAAAGCTATGTCGACCATACATTACTGTCCCGTTCTTCACCAAAAAAGGCCAGACGCTTAAAGGCACGCTAACACAGACGGTAAAAACAAACAGTATTCCCTAATCGCTTTTCTGCACGGTGTTTCAGGTGCGACTGAGCACCGACAATAATATTAATGATTGGGGCTTTGCGATTCACTGACTGCCGGAGCCATTTCGAGACGGGTACCTGTGATCTATCATCAGGGTCGTGGAATGGCAGGGGTTCGGACCGAACGGTTTAGAGTCGAGCGCTCTCACCACCATACCGTCACTCCCCACTACGCACCGAGTGAAGGATCATCCCTGGTCTGATACAGTCCACCTTGACAGACAAATGGACCTACCCAGTTCGCCCTGCTTGATATCGAAGCGCCACCCCTGGTCTGATACAGTCCACCTTGACAGTCAAATGGACCTACCCAGTTCGCCCTGCTTGATATCGAAGCGTGATGCTCCGTTCCTGATGAATCGAGGACCATCGGTGATCTCCTGAGGACAGGGACCGCGTTTTTGACATGCTTCACGGAGAATGAAAACGTTAGGCCTGCGTAGGGAGTCTCCGAGTTGAATGCCAACCTTGTTTGCAGACGCCACAACACTTGCATTGCAAAAGGAGAAGTCCTCGTAAGTGCTTTTTCTCCTCGCTTGCGCCGGCTCTGTGCGCAAGCTTGCTCGCTTACGTGGGGCCGCTTCCACTGGAACGGCCGCGGCGGCGTGCGGGAGAAGAAGATGGAGCAGTCGGAGGCAGGAAACTCGGGATCCTCGAAGAGGCGACCGCTGCGACGACACTGGGCGCGCAGCTTATCAAAGTCCTGCACCTCTCCCCGGGAGCGCAGTCCCGTGCCGCGCTCGTTCATCTGCGGAGAGCGGCATGTCAGGTCATGTCAGGTCACAGCACCAAAAAGGGTCGATGGTACTGCTCAGGTGGGACTTGAGAGCGCTGGTCAATGATGGCATCACGTGTCAGGTCTGATTTGTGGCGGACGGTGGATCATTACCACGGATTTGACTTGTGTCAACAGAAGATAAAGGTATAAGTGCCTTAGATACTTACAGATACTTGCACGAAACGGTTCGACAAACCAACATGTGGACAAGATGCGGCTTTAAATTGTGATTTCATATTGTAGACAAAGGCATGTCAGTTACAGCGGGAAAATGTTAGCCACAGCTGCACCACTCAATAAAAAGTAAGGTGCACCAGCTTAAAAGCAAGCGGCCCTATGCCTGACATGCTGATATTTGTCGGTAGGTTTGACCACCTGACCAGCCAGACACCACTCAGAATGGCCCAAACCCCGAGCGCCTGGAGCCAGCTCCGACTCTGTCTCAGAGCTATGCCTTGGGGTGATACAAGGAGTTATCGCTTGCTTTGCTGTGCGAAGAAACACCGATGTGAAGCTCACCCAATGCTGACGCATCGTTGACTCATGTCTCAAGAATATGAAGTGGATCTCAGTTATTATTTGTGAGTCGTTTATCAAATGCACGCCAAATATCCTCAATGTATCCAAAATATCATATGTGTATATGTATATATATATATATATATATATATATATATCCATATATCCATATCCATACCAAAATATGTATCCAAAATATCCTCTTAAGACTTCTGCTCGTGGGCCTGCTTTGCTAAACGCCGCCGGAACTGCCTGCTTAAAAAACGCATGAAAAGACCTGTTGCGTTTCATCGAGGATCTCGGTTTTCATGAGTGCTGGATATACCCAACATTATGCGTAAGATTTCCTGGTCGATTCTATATCTGGATGCCAGCATACCTGGCAGGAGCCATGGGCAATATGTTGTGTTGTGTACTGACAGCCAGGGAAGACTGCGGGTCATGGGAGATGAACGTCATTGGTTGGCCAGTGTTTCGTAAAGCAACATCGGATAAATCGCTTCAGCCTCAACGGGAATCGGTCCGTGGTCACTCACCTATTCCGCTCCCTCTTTATACGCGTGCGCAGGTGTGAAGGGGTTGCTGCGGTTGCTTGAAGAACTCCATTTTGTTTGCTATAAGAAACGTTCGTGAACCCATGGGGCTCAGAGTCACGGGGTTCTCGGTACTCACGTTGATTTGAGCCTAAGACGGGCACTGTCATAGCAAGCGATAAGCAAGCGCTTACCGATTTCGGTCCATATAGTGATATGTCGAAGTTGATGAGGCACGCGAACGCAGTAAAATAAACAATTTTTGTATTGGTTTGTTATAACAGTAGTCGATATTATCTGTTGTTGTGCGCAGTGTTTAAGTTCAGACTAAACGTTGACCCATCTTTAAAATTTAATAGCGTGTTTTAAGTTATTAAAACCCATGTTATAGCTAAGTCCGTGGCTTAAACACATTCAAATCACCCATACCCAGTCCGACGGATCGGACCGGATTGCGAGGTCTGTCGGATTCATCTGCCTTACATTCAGGCTCCGAATGACGTCAGGGAAGGTCATGAGCATTGACGGCGTTCAAGGTATATCACTGTCCCACCTTTGGAACCACTGGGGAAGATCAGGCCGACAAGAAGCTGAGATGCGCTTTTAGACCATCGTTTCCCCACGTTTTCGTCTTGCAGAGCTTTGAGAACGAGGTCACAATGAAATGGTCTGGTAAAGTAGGAACTGGCAAGCCGCAGACAAAGTAAAAAAGGCTGTAACTTTATTTCCCGGCGTTTATTTTTGATGAGTCGAACGGCTTGTGAAATATGCTTGCAAAAATTAGAGAGAATCATACATTTCCTGCCGCGGCCAGATGTAAATTGGCATTTAATCATGTATTCGTTTCATTTCAGCTATGCTGGTCACTTCATAATTAGAATGAAAACACGAGCTACGTGGTGAACTCACGGTCAAAGCGAGTTGAACGCGTGTATTAATTATAAATCCTTGAATTTACCCAATCACTCAAGAACTCTATCATGGCTTTCAACATAAACCAATCTTTAGTCAGAATCCGGTACTCACCCGAAACACCTTGAGCTGCTTATATCGGTAAGGCATCGTCACGTCTTGTTCCCAACGAAGTTTCACCGTGCAATGTTGGGGCGGCCGTTCCCCACAGCGCAGCCACGGGCCTGCTCCCCGTAGCGTCTGTTGTCGACTGAACCCATGTCCCGGTAGCCGCGGCATTCTGCCCCTTAATCACACTGCACCCGACCAATCACACGGCTATCAAACCGCCGATAGTGTACCTTGTCCTGGGAATCGTATCAGGGGAGCTCGATGCGATATTTATCTTGTAAGTCAGGTCCAAACAAAAGGCACCTGATTCAGACATGAAATGAAAACATGGCTCTCCGCTGGGACGGACAGCCACTGCGCGAACAAGGAAGTGTCAGGCATGTTTATCAGTGGATTTTCGCAACACAACTTGAGCAATATTGGCCAAATTTACTCTGAAGCATTGCTGACGTTTCATGCCCATGAAAGTAGCTTCGCCTAATAGTATTCTGATTACTATTTCTTTTTGAATTCGGTATAATTTCAATCTGACTGGACGACACCCCCTTCTTGCGTTTTGGGCAACTTCCTGATACATTTCACTGACGAGATGGTTTCCAAACGACCGTCTAAACCGCTCGCACCCTACCGCTCCCTCACCGACTCAATATGTCATCTTCACATGGTGCCTATTGAGCCTTGTACAGAAAATTGAGTCGAATTTCATTCACGTTCCGCGTTGACTTAAAACACCCGCCTCCAAGAGGGCTGGCCTTGTAGGGACGGCAGGGTGCGTGCCGCGCTGCAAAAGGTGGCTGGCCGGACGGAACGACGCCACCCGAAGATGACCGTTTTTTTGTTTGTTGTAAATCATTACCAGACCATTGTGGCAACAGCGTTTTACCTCTCGTGGTTACCTTCAAATTCCAGGCGAACTCCAAGGTTGTGGACGCTTGTAAGGCGTGGCAGCAGACGTCGGCTCGCTCTGGGCTTCGTGCTTGGGCTTTGATACGGGACGTGGCCGATCTGACGGCCGACTTCCCTGGTTTCGGAACTCAGTACCAGTGCTTGCTCATCGATCATTCCGCGACATCGCTTGTGGTTTCGATGGCTCGCATTGTGATTTTGCCCGTGATTCTCGTAAAAGGGACCGTGTGGCCCTCTGGCCGACCGCTCGTCTTCCCAAAGTGCGATTGCTTCCACACGTTTCCGCCCACCGCACCGTTCTCTTGCCCGCCATTGTCGTTAGGTCGTGAAATGCTGCGACAATTCCACACTTTAAACCACGACATATTTGTGCGCAGCTGTACAGGTGTGTCTCGATTTCGTGCACGAACCGTTTGACTTTGCTGCCTTTGCCATATTGATATTGTTAAATCTATCAATATAAACTCACCTGTACCGACAGGGATCATGGAAGCAAAGTTGTGCTCAAGTAGGATGGACTCTCAACACGTACTATCTATCACAAGCACTAACTTTCTTTTCCGGACTATTCGGATCAAGAACTCCTGTGCTTCAGCGGTCAGTGACGATACCAAGGCTATAGAAAAACAAGATACCCCACAACTGATCTCGCACCGCAGCGAGGCGCAGTCGGCAGTCGGTGTCGGTGCGGGCAGTCGGTGGTCACAAGGGTTAGGTGTGCAACGACAGGCCGTGCGGGCGTTCTGCGGCCAGCCGCGACCCCCCTCCCTTCCCCCGCCGCGACACAGCGGTGGACCTGCGGGGGGGGGGGACGGGGCTCCATGTGGAAAGTGACCAGGTCAGCAGCAGGGAGCAGGCTGGCCGACCGAACGCCGACGAGTGCGGTGCCGGACCACTTGCACTCACTTTTTATGGGTGTAGGGGCCACGCGCGGCGCGGGAAGCGGGGACACTGCTGCGACACCCGACCTGCACTGCCACCTATCGCGTGTAGGTACCTGTATACTTAACCCGGCTCTGCCACCCGTCGTATGTGAGCGTCTGTACACGTCACCCTGTAGCTCTGCCGCTGTCGGAGCTGCTGTCGGAAGTCGTCTTCGACTTGAATGGGTCGGCTGCTTGCGGCAAAGACGACGCCAGTGCCCGTGTGGTCTGCTTCTCTTTTCTCAAATTTTAGTGTAACCCGCACGGTGTCCCCGCATTTGGTCCATTTTAGCATTGCCCGTTCGGATGTGCCTGATTCTCGGAGGCATTCCCTCGTCCATCCCATTTTCAAAGCCGGTGATCGTTCTAATCCATAGAACGCCAGCCCTACCTCAACCATTCCTGTCACCATCAAGATTCGCGAGTGGGTTTTTTACCCTCAGCTGCACCGTCGTTTGTCCGCAAACCACCTCCTCTTCCTAAACTAGCACGGCTTTTGTTTTCGGCAGGAAACAGATACCCTGCTGACATCTAGATATAACCGAATGTTAACCACTGAAAACCATCAAAAAATACATCGACTTTGTCTGCTGGATTTGAGCAAATATCTTGATGTGGTCGATTGACCATGCCAAACTGCCGATCAACTTGCGAAATATCGAAATCGACGCTTCTGGTTTGAGCTTCTTTCATTTCGTTTTAAAAGACACCCAGGTTGTAAAAAAGCATTTGCGCCCAAAATTCGCCGCTTCCTTCCAGCGCTGGACCTTTTTCCACGCTCCGCTCTCGACCATGACCTCTACAGCGTCCCCCTAAACCACCGTGGTCCGTACATCGAGGGAGTAGTAGGCCTCCAGGACGTCGGCACTCAATTTTTTTTTTACAAACCTTCGAATCTAGAGGCGGCGTTTAGCAAATCTAGATTTAGCAATTCGGCGTTTAGCAAATCTAGAATTGAAAATTTAGCGTAGAAGTAAGTTGTTGATTCAAATGAAGATTTTTTGCTAACACTTTGATTACACATCCAAGTTCAAGCACGTCATGCCTAAGCTGAAGTATGATTTTTGCCAAATTGACACTTGATGCGGAGAAAGGGACTCAAAGTGAACGCTGAAAACACGCAGATCATGCTGTTGGTACTGGTAGTGCACCAGATTTACTTATAACCCTCCCCCATTCTCTGTAACTTTCGAGATCACAACCTTTGAAGCGGTCTTGAGAGCCATCAGTCTTAAACTCCTCGTCGACTGCTGTCTCGCATGGGTCTATCATTGAACCGTCGTTACAAGCTGTTTTGGAGCTGTTTTGTTATTCTGTAGGCGCCATGGCATCTTGGAAGCTAAGATGTCTTTCTCACTCTCAGTCATTTCCTGTGTGGTCGTTGGTTCTGCTGCCCTCTGACTGATCCAATACTGTGTCTCAATAAACGGCAAAGACACGCATAATAACCTCACTCGAATTCAGAAAAGCATTTCATACGCGGCAAACACTACTTTCGGCCGCAAACGGTTTGATGATGTACCGTGTCTGCCAGGGAAACCGAGCTGCCTTAGCGATGGGTCCTTGTCTCACACCATACGGCATGCTGGACGGTCCCATGTACGCCGTCTGGGAGTGCCGGAGGCCTTAATACACGAGCTCCCGCCTTGTTGTAACACGAGACAGCTTAGCGACCTGGATGTTCCCATGCGACGGACAGAGGTGGGCCCCGGCGATTCTGTGGTCACCAGGCACGACAAGGCAGCTACTTGTCACGTGATTTGTCGCGTCTTGCCATCCCCTGTGTCCTTGGCGGCTGAAGCGCCACCTCTGCAGGGATCGTGAGCGTTGCATATGATTTTCGCCCCCCCCCCCTCCCCCCGCCGCTGTTCCTTACTTATAGCTCGGGAAAGTCTGCGACTGAGCGTGTAACTGAGACGAACGTCTTGTTTTAGACAGATAACGCGTTGCCGCTTTGGCCACGAGCTTATCGCGGATGCTCTTAATGTATCTTCGAGCAGGTCCTGAGTAAACACGAATCGAAGATTACGTTCACATGAGGAGAAACAACGCCACACACGAGTTTCTTTTACTTGAGCAAAATATGTCGGCTTGCCTGGTTCTAAACCACGTCACGTTGCACGTCAGGGTGTTGATAGCACTGCACTTATCAACACCCGCGCTGACACGCGCGCTGGCGCCGCAGGGCGAACGTCAGATGACGTCATCAACGGTGAGTCACCTGAGCTCAGACCAACCTCGAAGCGCTTGGTTCGCGCTGATACTACCGTGAGCGCAAATCAGCCTGTTGTTGCTTCGTTGACGGAACTCTCCGCTGGGGCCAGAGGGAGTCCCCCGAGTGCTTCAGCGTTATCGGCAGACCGGCGGCTTGCATCAGCCAGCGCCCGGCCGGGACAGCTCGCGGGGTGAGTCGTCCGCACAGGTCCCCGGGCCTCAGGACGCGTTTGGCGGTCCGTCCGCCCGGTCAGCGACAGAGCGGGGACCGGTCCTGGCGGCGTCTGGCAGCGCTGGTCCCAGCAGGGCACCAACCCGGCGGTGGAAACGCGCCGTGAAGAGCGGTGCGGTGTCGGCAAAAACAGCAACATCTTCATGGTGTTAGTCCTACGCAAAAAAAAACTGCTGAAAAATAATTGGAAAGAGCTCGAGTGTGCTGCTGCATTGTTGGTCTTCTGTGCTTCTCACGCGCTGATCTAACCTCGCTTATGCAAGCTACACATAGTTTTGTGTTAACTAGTCAATGCTAGTAAAATCATGCCTGACACAAATCAGGCCCAGTGAATGGTTTCATTTGCTTTTCAGCAGTGTGAGTGCAGTGTTTTCTCCAGGCTCGCTCTTCCTAGTTTTATGCGCGTTATATTGGGCAATACATCAACAGAATGGCGGTGGCATTGTGCTTTGCTCAGGCATTTATGCTGACCACCGTATAGATACTGGTAAAAGATTGCATTCCTCCCTTGAGAATGCAGCCGCAGGTTTTGTCTTACACATTTCATGCTCTCGCGTCAGAGTAAGACGTACGTTCTTTTGCTAGATGAATTAACACTTTAAACATGAGTGTTATCGTCCACGTGTATCTTAAGGTGATCAACATGAATCAGTCACTTTTATGGCTGATAAATGCAATAATATCGAAAAATCAGTCACTATTATGCCCTGGAGCCCTGTTTATTCCTCTAGGGACTTTGTTGATCTACTGCTCAATAGAGTGCATTTTCGCGACCGTGAGAAATTCGTGAATTCCACGCAAACAAGACAACAAGAAGGACTGGGGTTTGATTGGGCCCATTTCGACTACATGAATATGTTCGAACGCCGCCTCACCTCGCCCGCTCATGCATATCAACCAAACACAGTCTCCCACTACTGCAGCGTTTTCTTTGGCTTCGCAGGTCGCTAGTAAAGGAAATGTTTTAAATTGTATGGTTGAGCCAACGAAGCTAACTCGCAGTTTGTGGTACACGAAAGGGTAGATATAGTTGAGTTTGGCATTTACGCTTCCATGTATTCTTTTCGCCGAGGTTTGTGGTTTTTTCAGAAGCTTCATTTCCTACAGAGGTTAAATGATTGTTTTACTATTTGAATGTGGCCATTGTTCGAAACTGACATTCGACATGATCACAACGAATTTATTTTCAGAAAGGACACCAATAAGCCACCAGTCTTAAGTACATGTAAGTATATGGAAGAACATGCGATCGAATTTAACGCGTTAAAGGCATTCAAACGCACTGTTAAGCATTAAACACCACATACAGAAAGCCCTGTCGTTTCGTCCCGACATGAAGCACCTGATGACGGTCGCACAGGCGTGCATTTCTTAACAAAGGACGGCTTTGAGAGAAAGTGGGAGGGAGTGAGAGAGGAAGAGAGGAAGGAAAGGAGCGAGGCTGGGGAGAGGAGGGAAGAGAGCCAATGAGTCGCAGTGCCTACTGCCATTTATTCGTCCGTACAGTAAGAAGCTGCTCACTATAATGATCACATGTCTGCAGTTCACGCCATCGCACAATTCTACATCCAAGCTGACAAGCCTAGCAGGACTGCGCACTCTAACCCAGACAGGGACAAACGATTGCACAGAACAGAAGCGCCAGTGATCGGCTGACGCTGCCATGGCACCCGTAGCAAGCCTTCTGTGCAGCAAGCGTCCCATCTCCCAAGCTCCTCACCAGCTGATACATCTAAACGGTGGCATTAAGACGCGAGGTGCCACCGCACGCAGCAAAACATTTGGCACATGGCAGGCAGATTACGCGGTAGTCCAGCGGCGCGGCCTCATGCCAGACATACAGTGAGATGTCGCGTGATCAGCGAGAACAGACTCGACGAACGTCAGGTGGTTCACGTGTCCATTTGTGAGCCTCAGAACCAGATGTTTCGGGAACATCTCCGGCGGGTGTCTCCTGTCGCTCGCTTTTCACCATCTCCATGTGAGCGCATGACAAAGGCAGCTCCTATCGCTGGCGCTATCAGGCACCTGCCCGCCAGGAAAACTGACCGGCGGAGGTGGCGATATCAAGCGTGGCTGTGCTCGAGCATGGCGCAGGAAATGAGAGCTCACTGCGTGTCCGGGTCCGAGTCTCCTTTTCAATCCGCGCGCCATGTAATGTCAACAGGCTAACGCTATTATTTCGCTGCAGAAATGGAGAGCAGGCTATTATCAAGGCGTTATGGACCGCTGATCTCTGATCCCGACACTCGTTGCCTTCATGAACAGCTATAAGTAATAGCATCTTTAACAGCCGACGACTGGGCCTGCAAGATAATTTAACACATCATCTCAGTATTTGCTTTTTCGCATTTGCAGCCTCGCGTTAGTCTTTGACTAGGACGTTTCCAATCACGACGGGCAAGAAACTGGTTCGTATGCCCCTGAACTGCAAATTATAGGGTGTGGGTGCCTGGGCCAGGAGATAACGCAGTCGTTTCCGAAGGCACGGTAACATTTGCCTTTTCAAGCATTGCATATATACAGACAGGCACGAAGTTCCTGGAGTCATAGTCTCATCGCGTGTGGCCGCGGGCCCTCATGCTCTTAAAAATAGAGTGAGTAAGAAAAACAGGATGATCACGGTATCCTCACACATGTCACAGCGTTTGACCAAGAGCATAAATCTTTCGGAATTTATGAAGACCAGGGAAGGCTTTAATTACGAAGTACATATCGCATCAGAAACGCCAGGCACACGATGGATACCTTCCAAAACACAGTGCAGCCACGTGCGCCATCACGCGCTTCCCGCAGGCAGAGCAGCCCGCCCGCTCGCTCAACAAGCCTCAAGCAGCATCCGCTTGTCGCGCACAGGCGTCGTGTGAACAGACACACAACCTGACGCGTCCGGCAGTAAGCTGGTGGCGCGGTCCCGATACGCGCGCTGGTGAGGACGCGACTGGTGGTCGGCGACACCAGCGTCCATTCCTCGGCTCCCAGCGACCGTTCCACGGCTCCCAGCGACCGTTCCTCGGCTCCCAGCGACCGTTCCTCGGCTCCCAGCGACTGTTCCTCGGCTCCCAGCGTCCATTCCTCGGCTCCCAGCGACTGTTCCTCGGCTCCCAGCGTCCATTCCTCGGTTCCCAGCGACCGTTTCTTGGCTCCCAGCGACGGTCACCAGGCGCCGGCTTACGAGTACATGCTGTGATTCAGCCAGTCTTCCAAGCTGAACGTAGCCTTGTTAGTGCTGCTTGGGTCTTTGTCCCTGAATATCTCTGAAAGAGGGAACACACGACAGGATGGTCGGATGCGTGAATCATAGATAAGAAAGTTCTGAGGGTTTCATTCCTCGTAGAATAGCGAGGAGAAAGGAGAGATAATACATATGTCTCTCCTTTATTCTGGCCATTCTACGAGGAATAAGGCTAACACTACGATCTTATCGATTTGCACAATGTTCCTTGCAAATGCGGTCAACAACTTAAATAACTGTCAACGGATGTGTGGATTAATAAAAGATGACGCCACAGTGGGTTCCCCGGCTTTTCGCATTCGCTGAGAATGTCGACTACGCTGAAGCTACGTCAGCGATTTCGTTATTATGCCGTAGATGTTGTGCTACTCACCAATGCACGTCTTCATCTTTACAGCACATGCCATGAAGTCGTCGAAGGCTACCCGTCCTTCCTTATCGCCGTATCTGGAAACAAAACGCATATGGTAGACTTTGAAGATATGCAGGATGCAAATAATCCTACGATTATGTACTGCGACTAATATGCGCCATGACTTATCGAGGCACCGATTCTCGAAGTTGGCAGCTGAGATTCAAAAAAGCAATACGATTTTAACCGATGACTTCATAAGTGACAGCTTCTCACAAAAACACGTGAGAATGGGAGCGTACGCTAATAAACTTGCGAGATATGACAGGGAAGCGTATTTAAAAATTTAAAAAGCTGGAATGCGTCATACTTGGACGCAACCCCAACCCTCAACCCACCTAATTTTATGAATATCCTAGTGATAATTAAGGAAATATTTTAACTTCCACCACCAGCTGTCTTGAACGATAATGTAGTGAGAGAGTCTTGGTCTACAAAACGCAAGATCGTGGCTTTTGAGTTGGTACCTGTCCGATGCTTTCGAGGCTGTTGCATACACACATATACATGGCTGTGAGCAGAACAACCTCAGAACCTTATCAGGACTGGCTAACACCTGGCGGTGGCCAAAGGCGTAACTAGCCAAAACGTCATGAGAAAAATAACACCATTACGGAGTATGATGGCCCAAATTCAGTTGTAACAACATACCGTACTAAACGCTCTGCGGGGTAGAGACAGGGCTGTTGTCAAGAATGAGCATGCTTCCATATTCGTGAATCCCGTCCACTGAAACAGTGAAACTGAAACTATTCGTGAATCCCGTCCACACTGAAACACGTCCACTCCGACGAGGGGTCAATTCCACCTCCGCCCACGAAGGTTTTTTCTGAAATAACTTCCTGACGGCGCAGGGTAACCGTGCAAAGTTTGCATAGCTGTAGCCGATTCAGTAACCGTCCTTTGGGCGCGGAACCAGATGTAATTTACAAGGTCGCTGACCTATGGCAGGTCAAAGTAAGACCATCGCTGCCAGCGAAGGCAATTCCTAGGGACCTGTTCAATCTGATGCGACAGCTGAGTGTTAGACGAACCCATGTATCTTTGAGATCAGACGATCGAATTTAGGATTACGAGCCATTCCATTGACATTGGGTCAGGTATAAAAGCCAGGTCAAGGTAAAAACAAAATAATTTTTACTTGAGACCTCACCTTATGTGACAGCTTTTGACGCCTGGTTCGAATTACTTGATCATTGGGAGGTCGGCAAATGTGTTATGTGTATTCAACAGAGGTCAAGAGAGGTCTCTGACCTAGAATGACCCCAATCAGCCTTTGTTTTAGGAACACAACGCCTAGCATAATCCTTGATGCTTAATGAAATGAAATCAAACAATCTCGCAGGTTTTTGGTCACTGTGGTCTCCTGACTGTCAGATAAGATGTTTGACCTAATATAAACAGCAGTGACCTTTTGCGTAACATAGTACCTGGGTTAAAGGTGGTTGTGTAAGAGATCTGAGGGAACTTCGGACACCTATCTGGGGTTCGGATATGTTTGACCTCACTTAACCCGCAGTTCATGAATGAAGAAGCCCACAAACTGACCAAAGTGAGCTCACATGCAGGCATATTAATCCGTTGGGTTCAGTGTATCTGGCTCCTTTTTATCACCATCGGTGTATCTAGTTCTCTGCCTAACTTTTGAGACCTTAGGGGTCAAATTGACCCCAACCCACGCCCTCTACCCGAGTGGCGTCGTATCAACCGGGCGCGCGTTAATGAACGCAAGTCTTCAATGGATCGACTTACATTGAGATGCACTACCGAATTATCCAAATGTTTTCCCTCTTCGCCCGGCTGCTAACAACCTTCTCCATCTTGACCTTTCCCACGAACCTGTGCATCAGTGAGTTGAGCAGGTTGTTGTTGACGCGGTAGCCGGACTCGTTAAGAGCGGACCGCAGCTCGAAGCCGTTGAGGAAGCAGCTGCCGGAGCGGTCGTGCCTCCTGAACACTGACTTCCACAGCCGGATGCTGCTCCAGAGCGACTTGAACTCTTCCAGACCAAGCTGGCCTGAGTTGTCCACGTCCAGCAGCGCGATCATGGAGCGCACCGTGTCCTTGCTGAAGCCCTCGAACGTGAACTCTGTCGGCCCAGACGCCAACAGTCGCAAAGAGTATCAGGGCTGGTCAGTATACTGACGATACAACAAATATAACGGAGTTTCCTTACACCTGCATTCTAACGAACGTAGCCTCTCACAAAACACAAGGAACTCACCCTTCTTCAGTGCGTAGTCAAGCACCTGCTTCAGCTCCTGCCAGTCCACCTCCAGGTTGTCACCAGCGATCTGGTTGAAGAACTGACGCACCATCTTGTCGTATTCGGACTCCTTGGCCAGCTCCGGCTTGATCTGCCGACCCAGATGTAACTGAGATCAGACCGTAGTTCATGCTGAATCACATGCATTCCACGTCTAGAACCCTGTATTCAAACTGAGTCGGCTGTTTGACTGCAAAATTAATGAAGTCGATAGACTTCTTAAAATCGGTTGCATCTGAACTTTTCTGAGAGCACGGAAGGATCAGATTTGATTGACAGTCATCAGTACAGCAGCATACTTGCACACATATTCTATACAGGCCCAAGAGTGACAGCACAAGCCAGGGGTTGCAGCAGCCCAACGGTACCATGCCAATATTTTCAGCAGCGGGTGCCAGACCAGCTATGCTGTACAGCTCGCAAATTTCAAAAGAAGTCAAAAAACTTGGAAAAACGTCCGGGATCTTATTTGGTAACAACAACACCAGGAGATCGGGAAACCATATAAACAGCGGCTGTGACTTCACGTAGTCTTGTCCTGAATACCCTGAAGTCAGGGCCGGGTCTCTGCCACCGCTGGGGGAGGGGGCGGGCGGGGGGGGGGGGTACATCGTCGAAACCTTGACCAATTGAAGCGGGGATCACGCGCACGCAGTGGCGGCGCCACTACACGGGGGACGCTCACCACGTGAGTGCGAACCACCGAGTCTTCGATTATCTAGCAATGCGAGGATACGCTGCCATCAGTCGATACCAAGTGGAACACATATTTCGCTGCTCAGGAAGTGCCAGCTATGGTCGTTATGGTGGGGGGCTGACGGAGGAGTTTTGGATAACGGCATGGAAGTGCACGGTGAGGGGCAGTTGCTGGAAAATAGAAACGGATAGGTCGAAGGAAACCACAAAGAAGTAGTATAAGCTGTGGTAAAAGGAAATGAAAGGCATGTATTCTTGAAGACAGACGTTCATGGAACAAAGCACAAAAGTGGATAAAGATTCGAAAGTGGGATACGGTTGGAATCGTGGCAGACAAGTCACACACTAACCAGTGACAAAGGATACGGATCTGGACAAAGGACCAACACCCTGGAGCTCTGCAGTGAAACGGGACATTTTTAGACGTGAAACAGGACATCTGCATTTAAGAAGTATGTAAAGACAAATATTTCGTGCATGATGTGGTCATCAATCAACTCCAACATAACTGCCATGCTGTGTATCTGAATCTGACATGGTTTGATTCGCCCGTCGTACATTAACACCAATGCATCAGTGTTGTGGGAGTCGTGCTGTTGAATAACTGCGTCACGCTTACATCAAGAAGTTTTCGCATGCGTCATTGCCTGTTAGCAAACCTAAGCCTGCCTAAGCCTCAAACATCAACGTGCGTGTTACCTATGGAATGTCCCACAACTTCTCTTCGGCTCAACCCTGCGTTTCTGGACAGACACTAACCAGCGACTAGCTGCCGACCCCAGACCAGGGCCGTGTCTCCAGCCCAACTCACCGACTCGTCGACCCGTCCTGGGCCGACCTCCTCGTCATTCTCCTCCATGTTGTTCGTCTTCTCGGAGAAGATGCGGATGAGGAACTCGCCCTCCTCGTTGGGCTCGAACGTGCTGGGGATGATGCAGTAGGTGCCCGGCGGAAGCTTGAAGCGGCACGACACCTCACGCAGGTTGATGAAGCTCGGCGCGCGCGCCACGGACGTGTTGTACCGGAAGAAGTTGACGTCGAGCGGCTTTGGCGCGCTGTCAGGATCTGCGAGCTGTGAGCATAAAATGCAGTTAGCACGAGTTCAAACCTTACCCACTCCCCGACTCCCCACTCCCCCACTCCCCGCGGTGTATGCCATCAGCAGGAGTAGACTGAGGCGTGCAGGCACGCGTCCTCCACTCAGACCACACCTGACCGACGGCGCCAGCCGTACTGAAGTTCCGTATATCCCACTGACCACAGAGTGGGAACGGATTTGAACGGAGCGAACAGGCCCACGGTTGGGGCGGCTGCGTTCACAAGCTCGACTCCCACTGACACCAAGGAGCTCGAAGAGCGTTTGGTTGGCGGAGGAAGTCGTCCCTCGCGACCCACAAGAACTCACGTGATAGATGGAGAACCCGATGGTGAGGCAGTCCAGACCCAGCCGCCTTTGGGCGCGCCTGTTCTTCTGCATCACAGCCACGATCATGGTGCACTTTTGCTCCTCGTCATCCTCGTCTACGTCGTCCAGATGAACCGTGTACTGCGGGTTGTGGGCGAAGGTGTCTGCGGGAGGGCACGTCAGTTTAGTGGTTGGTGAAACCTTGCGTCCAGTTGCTTGCTAGTTCCGAACCCATGTGTGACTAGCCGCTGCAGCTGTGATTCGGAATGTGTGCCGTATATGTGCACTGTAAATGTTAATGTTTTAAACTATGCACATCTATAGGCCTGCGGCACTGCTGCCGTGGTAAAGCTGGCGATTTGTGAGTAGTAGGTGTTGCTAGCATGCAACAGCTCATGTTATGGCTGGGCTGTACCGTACCACCAAGCGGCATGTGAAGCGAACTCGTTCAGCGATGTCCTGGCAACAGTGCGTCACATGTGCCTGTCACTCATGAGAGAGAGGAGTGTCGCTTCACCGTTGCTAAACCAGCCTATGTTACCGATAATTTCCGGCTTGTAACCCCAATGTCTGACTTCGTATTTCCTCCCTGTCTGGCCGAATGCACAGAAGGCCGATCGTGAGGCACATGGCACGGTCTCTGTTGACTATTACACAGACTAGTCACCGGTATAAGTGCTAGGCATGGACTTCGTGGTGCACCACTTCTGTCAAGACCAGTGTGCTCCGTGCGTACTTCAGATGCCTTGCCTTACATTAGCCCTAAGGCAATGCACAGCAAAAAATTGTTTTAAAAACAGGCCTGATCTAGCCTTGTTTTTGGACAATACTAACCCCTCGCAAGCAAACAAGCAGCGCGAAAAAATGGCTTCAACCTTCAACTTCACTTTTCTGTTCTTCCTGGGGCCTTTCGAAGTAAGCCGCAGAGGGCTTATTATACGAGCTATTTCGCTTTAGCGAGGAACGTTGCTCATACATGTACAACATCGCGTGGCATGCATCGATGTCATCTATCCAAGCACCAAAATGGTAGTCTCAATTCTCACTGATGTAGTTCCTGCAGCCGCCGGCGGTGGCGCCCCGCACCCATGCTCCCTCGAACACGGACATCTCCCAGCGCTTGGCTAGCAAGCTGTCGTCGTCATCATCCAGACTGTCCGGGCTCAGGTTACATATCTCCAGGCGCTGCCGACCGGAGAACAGGTCAGCACACAATCTCCAGGATCTCCAGGCGCTGCCGACCGGAGAACAGGTCAGCACAAAATGACACCGCAAGCAGGAAACATGAGGAAGGTATGGAGGTGCCAGCCACGGACGTAGTTCACTAGATGGGTCTGACTGCATGTGGTGACAAGGCCGACGAAGCTCAAATCGTCTAGGCAAACTTTGAAAGCACACGTTTCTGCCAAGCTTAGCAAGTGTACTTTCCTGCAGCTATATCGCGTGGCCTGTGGCTGCATAGGATGACCTGTTTGCCTCCTAAGAGCCCCTCCACCGTTGGTCCGCTTCAGACCAAAAGCGTCGACTGACCCGACAGTTAGAGACGGCTCACCTGGAAGTTCCTGGTGAAGTCCTTGAAGGTCATCCAGAACTCTCCGTCGGCGTCGAACGTCAGTCCCAGCTCCTGGCGCGTCGCCTCGGGGATGTAGTTCCACTCGGAGGACCTGCGGGGTTCAGCACAGGTCACGTCCTCCCGCTGGCGCAGGCCGCCCGAGGCCGTCATCGGGCTCCGCACGGGCATTCATGGGTGCGTCACCACGGGTCGTGCAGCTGAAGGAACGCAATGTACGACACTAGAACGCCGTCATAAATTCAGTCACAGAGACTTGCGCGGTTTCGACAGCAGGTAAACTGGAACATTAATCTCACGGATGTGGAAGCGATACGCATGCATACATTGCTGTTCTAGTATGTGGATGTATAAGTACGCGAAGTACTTAAAGCAGTGCGACTCAAACTTACATCTTGTCAATCGGCCATTGAAATAAACCGGTGAGTAAGGGACATTATTCATGGCGTATATTTGCCGGCCCTAAACACCAAACAAACAAAATTTGTCAAATTGTACGTATAGCTGGTTCAGCTGCTTGGAAGGCCAACACATGACAGACATGTAATTGCAGTTTTTGCCGCAAGTTTAAAGAAGTGAAAAGAGAGAAGCCGTGCAGAATATCTCTGGAAATTTTTAATCGGAGTGCGGAAATTCAACCCTTAAATTTGGTTTTGATAGTTTACCCTAACGGGCAAGGCAGGAAAGAATGGGGAAGGACTGCAACCATTTCGACACCGAACCCCACTACAGAGATTGCAAGCATTAACCAGCCTGTGGCTACCTCTAATGTTCCTAACACCATCTTCGCTGCGTCATGGCACCCTCGGTATACCACTCTGCTTAGAGAAAGTGCATCCAAGTCAAAAATATATCCAACACCGTTATAAAACCCTTACTTCACCTCTGACGAACAGCGGTTTCACCACGGTCATTTTGACCGCGCTCTCACTGTTTGAGTTGGCCGCGAGCCCAGGCATCTGTCTGTGGGTCTGACCTGCCCGTCCCCGGACCGCCGAGCCGGGGACGGGAGTGCACGCCCCCTGGCGGGCGAGCGTCGTCTGCCGACCAGGGGTCAGCGCCCTCTTGGCCAGAAGCTGGTGCCCTGCGCTGCACCTCGGGCTTCTTATCCAACACGCCATTGGTTGTGGACGTTTAAGCTAACAGCCTAAGGCATGCTAATGGCGCTGAAGTGGCGGCAACAGCTGCAACTCTATATAAAGATGTGCTGACTTGTACTAGGAGCGTCTCATTGCAAGTCTATTGCACTCCCTGCAATGGCCGTTTTGAATAATTCTTGTTCATTTTTCCTGCGCCGCCTCGTCCACAAGTCGTGCGTTCCCTAATAATATATTTCAGCTTGTTGCGCGGACGCTGGCACTCAGTTCAAAGGCTTCTAGCTACGTCCATACGCTTGCTGAAAGAGCGAGATGATCTTTCCGAAAGATTACTAAACCAGTTGGTCCGCGATGTCTTATGATGTCTTGTGTTTACTTGTCGTAAGGTTCCCAATGTGGCGGTCTCGTGATCAAACTACCGACACAGGTGCTCCAGTGCGGGTCACACGACAATCGCGCAGAGAAGGACCGCACCTACGTGGCCGCCCTGCATCAGACATAAGCGAGGCGTGGGGTCACAGGGCGATGAGGAAAACATACCCCGGCCCTCCTGACCTTGACCCCTCCCGCTCCGAACTGTCGTGGCAGCGTGCCGGACGTGAACGAACGGTGTGATAGCACGTGCGCAAGCGTGATAGCATCGTGATGGCACAGTGCGATACACGCGCAAGCAAAGGTTCGAGCGACGTCCTCGCTCCTCGCCATGCACTCACGAGTCGGAGAAGGCGCCCTTCCACTCGGCCTCGTTGCCCCAGGGGTTGCGCACGCGCACCATCGGGATCTTGCCGTGGACGCGGGGCGTCTCAATGTCGGCCATGCACGCCTTGGTGACCGAGTAAGCGTGGCCTTTGATCAGGCCGTTCGGCATCTCCGCCTCCGCCACGTACGGGTCGGGCTGCGGGCGGGGAGACCGTCGGTGAAGCGGTAATAGCTGAATCGTAGGCCATCATCAGAAGTCCTCCTTAAGTCACTCAAGTAACTTTAGGAGGAAACTCTAGTATAGCCGATATTAAAGAAACTCTATGAATGGTAGCTTAATAGTATAGTAGCCGTAGTAAAGTCTATGTCTGAATATTCTTGAGTTAAAAATGCTCGAAGTATGAATTGTACAGCGTCTAGAAAATGCGTTTTGAAAAGGTGATTAACGGTGAATCGCGTTGAAACCAATCTACTCTTGTCCAGCCCCACACATGTCGTATCCATGTTCACAACAGGCCTGTCATTGGACGAGACCCGGCTGATTGTGTTCTTTACGTCCGTGTCCGCCATATTTCCATCGCTTGAGAATTTGTTGCGATGATATGAATGTCCCAGCAGTAAACAGCAGCGGCAAAAAAGCTAAACAGCGCTCTAACAGACACTATTTAAATCAAGCCCACGCCAAGTGGTGAGAAGCACGAATTATAGAGTGTCTAGAACATGCGTTTTGAACAAGTGCTTAACATTGAATCGCGTTGAAACCAATCTAACCTTGCCCAGCCCCACACATTTTGTATCTTTGTTCAAAACAGGCCTGTCATCAGACGAGACCCGGCTGATGGCGTTCTTAATGTCGGTGTCCGCTATGTTTCCATCGCGTGAGAATTCATTGCAATGAAATGGACATTCGAGCAGTAAACAGCAACAACAACAAAAAAGCCAAACAGCGCACCAACAAACACTATCTAGATCAAGCCAACACTAACTGGTGACGAACATAGAGACATTCAGCACGGGCAGTTCATCACGAAACCGCGGGGACACGCGCACGCGCCAGGCTAAAAAATGTACGTCTCCCATGACGCCACGCATTGCATCCAACAGGAGCTGGACTTCAACTGGCGTAAATAACTCGCCGCAACTTGGCGGCCTGTCGGTGAACGGCCGGAGCGCCGAGGAGCCGGCGCCGTCCAACCGCCGCCAAAAGCCCGGACGGACGGCTACACGGCGCCTGTCCGAAATGGCCCGCTTAAATCCGCTGGGCCGCCGCGCCAACGCAAACATAACGCGGCGGCACACAAGGTGCAGCTACAATTGTGGTGCGGCGGCGCACCGGGATCCACGAGGGAATTACATAGAGCCCTACGGACCGCAATGGGAGCTCAAAGAGCAGCACGCGTCACAAATCGAGCACAGGGAGCACAGCGTGCCACAAGTGGAGGCCGGATAGAATCAGGACTCCGGTCGCGACACTAAGGGCACCAGGCGACTTTGCTGAACCACAGGGAGGGTACATCGAGGCACGCAAGGGGCGGGGGGAGATATCACGACACCGTCGGAGACGCTGGGTATGGGGAGATCACCGGGCACAGCTCAGTAGAACTCGTCGATGACCGCCGATGCTGATGCTTACTGCATCAATAGAGCCGCTGCCGGGCAGCCCACAGCATCCGGACATAACAACTTATTATGTTGTCTGTTTATACTTGTATATCAGATGTTCACTTGAACGATGGCGGTGTATATAGGTTGTCTGCTTGTTGTATGTAGTGTAGTGTTGCAGTGCGGTAGTGCTGGATGCTCAGCAAGGAACATTTTTGTGTGCGCCGTAACGCATGTATCTGACTAATAGCCGTTGTCGCAGCCGCCTGCCCCCCCCCCCCCCTCGGACAAATAAGATGGCGTAAGGTAGGCATTTTCAATTATATTTTGTTTTGATAATCGGGTTTAAACAATATCTGGGATCAAAAGCGGATACCAAAAATACACACCTTTTGGTCACACACTAAGGTAACTTAAAAACATATATGTTTTGTTCAAAGCTAAACTTGTTTAGTAGCGGCTATCCCTAAAATGAGCTTTACATCAATGCTGACATATGGTTTTTGCGACACACAATAGTTGCCAAAGTGACATCCCCGTCGATCATTCCTGGCCGGCATTCAGGACGGCGGGCAGATTTCAAGGCAGCTCGTTACCGATGCATTACAGCTAAATACAAGCGTATGAGAAGCCAAACCATTCAGTAGGGCTCCCGGCACGCAGTGCACTGCCCTGTCCTGCACTGACACGTTTGCCATGCCGGAGCCGCCTCACCTCTATGGAGCAGCTCATGAGCGACTTCCTCTCGTTGGCCTTCAGCATGACCTGGAACAGGTTGTCGGGCGCCTTGTCGATGTCGTACATCTCGGTGACGCCTCCGCTGAAGTCCTCCATCGCCTCGCACGTGGTGCCGCCCTTCAGCGCCTCGTAAGAGCCGTGCAGTCTGAGAGGCCGCAGGGGTACGCTCAGCCCCTAGCCACAACATACCTTCCCGCTACGCACAGTACAGCAGAAACTTCAGCTGGTTCTACGATTTGTAAAGAGCGGTACAAAAACAGTCCCGCTCCGCACAGTACAGCAGAAACTTCAACTGGTTCTAGGATTTATAAAGAACACTACAAAAACAGCAATTCTTTTCCCGCTTTGCAATGACTCCTCCAAAGTGACGCGTCCAACGCCATCGAGCTTCCTCCCCCTAACCTTCCCCGCGCGCGTCACTTTCATCTCGGGCACACGTCCTGTGCTACTATTCAGTTCATCCTGAGCCAGTCAACAGCTGAGTACCCCAGCACCGGCACCGCAGCCTGGGGATCACCTGGTTTAGGCCTTCTCGCGGGCCTGACTCAGGCATAAAGGCCCCCGGCGCTGTCGCAAGCTGCGCTGTTTATCGGCACTTACTTGGCGTAGGCCTTCTCAAGCAGGGCGGACCAGAACTCGTGGTTGTCGGCCGAATGCATGAAGGCCAGCTGTCCGTGGTAGGTGGGCAGTCGGTCGTCGATTACCACGTCCACCCAGCGGCCGTACTGCCAGAACCTGGCGGCGGGACGGCGGTCATGGAACGCGCAGGCGACTCACGGGGGGTGGGTGGTGAGAGGCCGCCCGGGCACCGGCTCCGCGCTCGAGGACCTATCCACAGTCGGCTTTGGAAATCGGTTGAGATGACTGAAGCTAGTATTATTGTGCCATTTTGGTTACTGTGGTTTAGAGGTAGACAGCATTTGTGGAGGCTTTTAAGTGAGCATCTGGTATCTGAGTTGTCACTCGCTTGCTTCGATATCCAGCGTGATATTGGGCAATGAAATTAAATTATCACCACAGCTATTGCTATGAATTCCCGTAGGATTTGTTCCAACGTACACTGCAACTGACGTGCATAAATTATATTGAAAAACAAAATGCAGACACTGGAATCCACAGAACGTGTGGGTAGTACGACTTATGTGGATATGCCGCAGTCCCATTCCAATTGATTACGTGCATAACGGTTGTTTGCCTGAAATTGATAAAACTGCAAGGTACTTAATTCGCAATATGGCATTGTTGTAGAAAATCTTATTTGAACATGAGATTCAAGAGCGTGCACCATTCCGAGAGCCTTGGTCAGCTCCCGTCAAAAGCACCAGATGTGCTCGTCGAAAGCACCAGATGTGCTCGTCAAAAGCATCAGATGTGCTCGTCAAAAGCATCAGATGTGCTCGTCAAAAGCATCAGATGAGCTCGTCGAAGCCACCAGATGTGCGGATAGAGTTCGCGTTGACCTCGCACACTTCGGAGGCCCAATGTGCGAGGTCAACCGGAAGTGAAAGAAGCGTTACCGGAAGTGAAAGATGCCGGCGTAGTCATCGTCGATCTCCTGGCCGTCGGGGACCACTTGGGCGAACAGGTCCTTGTTAAGAGTGATGTTGGCCACAGCTGCCAGAAGCCAGCAGTCGCCTGCGACAGACGGCCACGTCCATAACCAAGCCGGCAGTGCCAAGACGGCAACAAAACGTGCTGGCTCAGCCAGGTGACGACCTAGGACATCAGTTTAAGGATAGCGTTTGTACGCTCGTCTGACACCAACAGCTTAGACGCAATTAATCGCTTGAAATTCGAGGTAGCTGTCCGTTCCAGGAAATGTAGGCGTCAATTATTCAGCAAACCTACACGCGATGGAAACTTTAGCAGGCAATGTTCAGGAAGCCAGGCGGCGTGGGCTGAGACGTTTCTGAACTGTTCCGTTTCCTGGTGCTTTCTGATGGGGACCGTGACATCCTCGTCGGAAACTGAGTTGATGTATCCGTTGTTGAAGACAGCTGATACGACAACACCTTTTGGTATGCTGTTATCGCATTTCCAGGCGAGTTTTTTTTTTGATTAATGGACGCGAATGATTGCAAAAAAAGCTAAATCCTGCCCATCCCAGTTATGTGGCGAAAGTCAGAAGGGTGATGACTTCCCCTTTGTAATCAACTTTCCTTCAACTAGCATGCGATATCCTTTAGCGCCGACCGTCTGAAGTTCTCAGTCCCACCTCCATAGCGATGGAACAAATTTGAGAATTGACGTGAGTAGCTGGACAATGTAACCAACTGTCCGGCCTGGTATCGGGCAGGAGGTAAATCGTAGGTGACCGACATTATCCTTGCCTTAGCCTTAACGACTAACCCTCATCCAGGTAGTAAGTCTTTGACCAGTTTGACATGCGGAAATCGACACCACAATTAAGAAGATCGGAGCCCCACACTTCGCAAGCCGCCGAGCGCTCTCAGCCCAGACATCCTCAAGCCACAGCGTCGGCGTGGTCAAGGCATCACTCACCCAGCTCTCCCTGAAGGACGTCGAAGCGAGAGGCGCCGCTGGAGATGAAGAGGGGACTGTCGCTGATCTCCTGTAAAGCGGGGAGTACCACCTTATGATCCCATCACACAATCCCACCACACGTCACACAATCCCATCACACAACCCCATCACACGATCTCATCACACGATTTCATCACACGATCTCATCACGCAATCTCATCACATGATCATTACAAGATTCCTTACACGATGCGATTTTACGATCCATCACGTGATCTCATCACACGATCCCAAAATGCAATCTGTGGGACGATTTCATCACACGATCCCATCACATGGGCACACACCACCAAGACACGGGCAGGCACCACGGCTGAGACGAGACAAAGGAGCTGTTCGTGCGCCAACGAGTCAACCCCATGTCATTGGTCATGCCGTCAGGGCACCGATGAGCTCGTGTAAAGGTTTTGTAGGGGCCGACTTACGTGGGGCCGCTTCCACTGGAACGGCCGCGGCGGCGTGCGGGAGAAGAAGATGGAGCAGTCGGAGGCAGGAAACTCGGGATCCTCGAAGAGGCGACCGCTGCGTTGACACTGGGCGCGTAGCTTATCGAAGTCCTGCACCTCTCCCCGGGAGCGCAGTCCCGTGCCGCGCTCGTTCATCTGCGGAGAGCGGCATGTCAGGTCATGTCAGGTCACAGTGCCCGGAAGGAGAAGGACGCTGGTAGGGTTATGTCCGATCGCCGAGTATTTGCTGGAGGACGCAGATGATCATGTAAGGTTGGTTCCGGTTCGTTCAGGGGCCGGCCGGTTAGTTCTCCAGGTTACGGTGGTGGAGGAAGTTCAGGTAAAGTTGACGAGGTTATCAAAATTTTTGTTAAGTCAATTGCCGCCGACCCGCCCCACGAACCGTCTATCGGGGCAATGGTATCTATGATCTGGTCACATCGAATCAAATGACTCATGATGATGATGATGGGCTGTTAGCCGACGAGACACATTACCGCCACTTAAAGCCAAAGTACAGTGCTCATCAGATTGAGACGACCGCAGGTGACTGTCACTGAGAGATAAGTGATAAATACCGAGCCCTAAAGCAGCTTGTTATCCCTACCACGCATGGCTGCCAACCTTCGAATGTGACTCTACCGCCGTAACTGAAAACAAATTGCAATTTCTTGAGATATTCCATGCTTAAGGACAGCGCAAGCCAGAAACATGTAGCTGATACAACGTGGCCGCTGCCGTAAAGGCACCGAACTTGACCGGTCGGCGTCTTAACACGATTCAGACGCCGATTATATAGACAAACAAGTTCTTCTAAATCAAGACAGTGTGTTCCTATTTAAAAGTGCTTTCGAGAAAACAAACCTGTCAAAATAGATCGCAGCATTCGTCCAGAAAGGCTGGCGGCCTGCTTGCTTATTATGCGTACTCCCAAGCGAAGATTATAGAGCGGCAAGCACATGAAGCTCAGACCGTTTAGCCATGATCACATCTGGCCTGGCTAGTTCCAAGGTGGCTGCCGTCAGTCTGATGCCGACCCAGCCTGTCCAAACCGTTTCCAGTACATTCCGGCCATCCAACTCAAACACGCCGTGAGCGTGGCCGGGCTGGCGGGAGGGCGGCGGTTTACCACACGGTCCGTCAAACTGGCCGGCGACTCGGCTGGCTCCGCGCCGCACGCACGCTTGACCGACAGCTGATCAAAGCACCAATAGCGGCGGCAAGCAACCGGCGGCCGCCCGACCACAGGCCAACACCGAGGGATGGGCGGCGCGGACGGGTGAGGCAGACCCGCGGCCTGGACCGCCGCACTCAGCGGCCGCGTCGGGCAGGTGTGGAAGACCCGCGGCACGGGCCGCCGCACTCAGCGGCCGCGTCGGGCAGGTGTGGCAGACCCGCGGCACGGGCCGCCGCACCGCACTTAGCGGCTGGAGCACGCCTCCTGACCCTTGCCTAGGGCGCTCGAGTGGCACCGGTCTGTGTCGAGACGATAGGTATGATGATAAGTGGCGTATGATGATAGGTATGATAGGTATGATGATAAGTGCTGTGACGGTGTGATGATAAGTGGCGTCTGATAACGAAAAAAAACTTGAAATCATGACACGATTCGTATATACGATGGATGGTTATGCAGATTACTGAAGATATGACCGTACACACATTTGAACCTAGTAAACCTGGACGGCCATTCACTGAGCGCCGGATGTCGCTGTATCCGAGCATTTCTGGCAAAGACCTTCGCCATGGGTGCATAGCTGAGGTCATATGTACCACAAAGGAATGGTGATTGATTTCCATGCGTCTACGTCGACAACATGGTGAAATGCAGTAGTTCCGAATTGGCGGGTTAAAGTGACTGTCCCGGCTCCTGATGCGTCCACGCTTGAGATCGCAATGCCGATAAGTTTCCTGGCGCATGCGAATGGGAACGCAGCACTCCAATAACCTACGACTTGAGAGACGTGACCCTGCTTTACTGAGCTGCTTACAAGAGCTCCGCCCATCCAGCTGGCCAAGAACACCACTGCAACTCGGCGAGCATGCCAGAGTGTCTCTCAAAACGCTTTTGATCATGCCAAACGGAAGACCTCAAAGCGGTTGGGTGCAATTATCTGCTAACAGCCAGCTATGTAGACTCAGGTGCGTTGCAGCGCACGATTCTAGATGCATTACAATACGTACTTGCAACGCCCAGTTAGATCAAAGCAACCTCTTGCATTTTAATTAAGATATTTTGCATTCTAATACAGAGTTCACACAGATTCGCTCTGGGAAATTGTGTGAAACTGTGTAAAAATATTTACTGTATGAAACTGCGTAAGCTCCGTGAAAAACATCGGAGAGGTGTGGTCTATGATGGAGAGCCCATGCGAGCCTATTCGTTTGAGATATTATAAACACCTGCGGGACGCTAAAACAAAACAGGGAGCACCCCTTTTGGTGACAATTTTTTTTGCAAAACATGTTTTCGGGCTGAAATCCAGGGAGGCATGGACCCCATGTCCCTTTTAGAGCTCAAAGTCATCTACAGAGCACAGAGCCACGTAGACAGGAAATAAGTGAATCTATTCTTATAACAAGTTGGCGACCAAACCTTAACGTACAGGGCTCATTATGGCCGACATCGCGAACGTGATATGTGCCCTGATGTGTGATATGTGCGAGCTTAAAATCGTTTAAATGTGCAAGTGATGCCTGACCCGTGACGCACGACACCTGTTTAATTGAAATCACTCGCATGCATAAGTGATGCGTGATGTGTGATGCCTGTTTACTTCAACTCGCTTACATGGTTGAATGAAGGGTGATACCCGATGCCTGTTTGCTTGAATTCGTTTGCACGTACACGTATTTTCGCGCATTTTAATTCTAAGTTAGATATGCACTGCGTCGTAGTAGTGGTTTGCAATTGCACCTTGTTAAATCTCCTGAATGTTGGCGTCGTGTAAAAACTGTGGCTCGCTGTTTCATAAGAAAAAAAGAAAATGGAGACGGATCATCGTCAAGCAATTTTGAATTCATTCCTGCTATTGTTTCGCTAAATGCATGCTGCCCAAATATCAACGCATCTACATCTCCATTCTCCTAGTTTCCTTCCGAGATAGAAGGCTATTATGCTGTTTTATCTAGATCAAAATCTAAGCTAATGGGTCGACCCTCTTAGAAGTCATACAAATGTGCCTGATCAATGCGATTGGAAGCCTGTCTTTCATGGAAGGAGGGGGGGGGGGGGGGGGTGCGGAGAGGTTGGCAGGTGCAGATTCACGGATGGGTGTTCGCGCTCTAATTCTCAATTCATATTGCTTGAAAATTGATGGCCTCTGATCCCGACATGGACCGGAAGGAAGGTCCCCATGAACGGCAGTGCACGCGCCTGTGCAGGTGGGTGGATCGCTCTGTTTTGGTTTAGAGCACAGCTTGCTATGCTCGCAGCCGTCTTTGAAGCAAATGGCCTCGCCTGCTTCTTCGCTGGCGTTTTTGCGTTATGGATTGTACGGTGATGGAATGGATTAGCAATTGCAGACGGTTCATTCACTCTCATTGTGCAGATGTATCTACATATTTATCTGCTCAGGCTGACGCAACACGATATGAATCCCTCAAAACGCTCCAAACCTACGTACTCGTAGTTTGTGATAAAGTGCACATGAGCTGCTGCAAACATCGACTCATGTTTTCCGGAGCGGTTAACCAGTCTTCAAAAGATATTGTTCTCTTCTCGCAGCGATGTCAGGCTGTCAAGATCTGCCAAAATCGCCCCTAGTTGCGCAAGATTTTACAATGATCATTTTTTCCTACGTTGATTGAATGAGAAATGCTCTCCTCATTCCTCATTTCCTGTTGGTTAAAATGATGCCAGGTGAGACGGCTTGCATACAAATTTCGTACTATTCAAACAGCACCACTTTTACAGAATCACATGATTATGCTGCTGGAATCTACATGAAGCTGCGATCGGTATTAGCAAATATCTCGTCTTCAGATACTGTATTAGATTGAAAGATATTAACCTGAAATCCTCACATGGTGTACAACGTTCGTCGCAAATAAACTTAACAGCGTAATTTATTTCCTCACTGCTCAAGTTAATTCAACTCGGCTTGTCACGTCGTCTGGTCCAATGACAAAGTATGGATCATATTCCCACATCACCCTCGGGTTATAAACGTGCCCTCCAAGCCACCATGGAGGGGCCCGCTCCAACTAATTTTGTACCGATACCAAACAAGGTCTTCCAATTCCACTCACGCCCCCCCCCCAAAAAAAAGTGGCGCAAACAAACTACAGCAGAAATCACCCCGTGATCAAAACAAAATATGAAGCAGCATGTGCTTGTCCTAAGCTGCCGGCTCAGTACCTCACAGCCGAGCTCCGCGCCGCGCCGCCTCGTGGCTCACCCACCGGGTTGACGTTGGCGCGTGCCTGCGTGCTGCGCCGCAGGCGGCCACACCCTCGGCTCCCGGGCCGCCAGAAGTCGTCCGACGATGGGCGGAGGTCAGTGGCTTGGTCAGAGGTCATCGGGACCGCCTCCAGCTCCCTGCTGAGCGCAGCGGACCTGCACTCGGGCTCCCCGGCCGGCGGGGGTCCAGTGGCGTTACCCTGGTCATGACCTGACCAAGGTCGCGTCAACGTGGCGTGAAAGATCACGTCTGGCTGCGCCGTGGAGTCACGTGGTCGGACCTTGTTATATTCGTCCGTGTCGGGACCTTCGGACCCGGTTGTGGCAGTGTCTCCCTCTTCTCGCCGAGGTAACGGCTCCGGAGGCGATGCTCCATCTGCGAATGCATCTTCATCTTGTATGACTTGAATTTTGATCCCATGGTACACAACATCCGGAGAAGGCTGCGTCTCGCCTTGCTCGCGCTGATCTTGTGGTGCATCGCTAATAGTTTGATCAACGTCCTGTCCGCCAATCCCCAACTGTCTACCTTCCGCCCTTTTCTGCTCCCGATCAGTATCCTGATCACCGACGCCCAGCTGAGTAGCGTCTGCCCTCTCCTGCTCCCCATCAGCGTGACCACGTAACGGCGGCTTCTCTTCCCCCGCCTCTGTCTGCTCGATAACAAAGGCACGGCGCGCCAGGAAGCCTTTCTCTGCGCTTCTCTCCTCCTGATCCTCATCGTGACTTCCAGCCCCCATCTCCGTTCCATGCG